CAAAATCGCACCAGAAAAAAGCTCGAAACAAATCAAAATGGAGTAGAATCCTAGAACAGGCTAAGAACGAAAAAGTGTTGTCGAGACAGTAATGATACGATTTAAATAATAATTTTGGTAGGTTTACGATCTGATGTCAGCTGTATGGAAAGTAATTTAAATAAATTTATTCTCTAAAGCAGTTTTTCACAATAAATACCAAAAACATCACTAACATTCACAATTACTAAGTAGTTAAATACTAGCAATTTGAAAACTTTCCAGACGTTTTGTCCATTTTTATCTTACATTACTTTCTTGACTTTTCCGTCATAATTTCCTCAGACTGTTTTTTGTTTTTTTAGTATTTCTTTATTTTCACGTCTACTCTTAATAGTTTTGAGACAAAAACTTTATTATACTGACATAATTGATGTACAAGTAACAGAAACAACGTAACAAATAACTTATAATTTTTATAATAAGTTTAAGATCTGCCATTCTCTCTATTTAATTCCTTTTTGTCTTTTCCAACAATGTGAGAATATTTATATATTATTTGCATAATTATTTATATATTGTCTCGGGTTTGAACACCCACATAACAAATAAATTAAATTGAAAAAATAAATACAGGACTCCTGTAAGGTTAAATTTTACGTAGTAATTAAATAATTCAGTAAAAATATTCACTTTGTGAAAATAAATTTGTATATAACATTAATTTAACTGCAACTACTTATCTTTTTTAAGCTTAGTTAGTTTTAACAGATTATTTAACATATTAATTTGGGATATCAATTAATTATGTAAAACAGCCTAAATAATAAAATTGTTTTTCATTATGAAGTGAAAAACAATATTCATATGGTTTTTATCATTTTTATCATCATCAAAAGTTTTAGTATATAAGTCACGGATACACAATTACAAAGCATCACAATATTTTACCCTTAAGAAGAAAGTTTTATATTGTAAGTAATATACTATTTCACCAAGTACGCAATATTTTATTTTTCATGATAATTGATATATAGTATAGAATAAAATGGTTTCAATTTTTTAAAAGGAACTTTTTGCTTGAAAACATTTCACAATCATTCCCATAAAAAAAATATACAAGCAAACAAAATGCTATTTTGAGGAAAGCCGAAATTTATCGTACAGCCACTTCTATCACTCATTTTATCTCGATTCACACTTCTATATATGTCCTTAGCCACTTCTAACACTCATTTTATCTAGATTCGTCTTCATGATCCATTATTCTTTTACTATTTAATTCCGGATTTATCTCTTGATTTGTCATTATATCCATTTTTTCTTATGCTGGCATTTGACGTAAAATAAGCTAAAATATTGACTTTGTACGAAAAGCACACGTACTACAATATGTTTAACAATTTAGTTTTTTTTCTAAGAATTTACTCCAGCTTATTTTTCAAATATACTATAATATACAAGCTGGAGTTAAATCACCATTAGGCCGGAATTACCACTAATTTAACAACATAGGCCGGAATTTTAAAGTTTTTTACATTTTAGTGAAAACAATTTTTTTGGAGAATAAAAACACATTTTTCATTTTTCTATTTATTTTGATAAAGAAAACATCAAACTATCAAATATACTTTAAATCCATTTTCTCTATTATTTCTCTTCCTTTATATTTACGTCTAAACTCAAATATTCCTTAACTGGTCCGTTATTAGGTCGGTTTACCTTACTTGATTTAGTTTTGTCCTAAAACTAATATTCATATTTGCTTGCTCAATATATTATCCAAATTCTCATAAACCGCTAAAGCGTTTGTTTTATAATTTGGAAATTGTTGTTTCCTTATGATATTTATTTATCCTACGTATTTTGTGTATTTCCATAGGTGTCATTGTCGCCCTCTCCTTGAGACACCTATCCCAAAGATAAGTTCAACGTTGAATATGGAGTATTATTATAATAAATTTATAATTTACACGCATGTATTTATTTATGGTAATAAAATTTACCTGCAGTTACTTATCTTGTATAACAGCTCTTTAGATTAACAATAAATAATTAGCATAATAAATTGGGTGTCGAATTTATTATCTAAATTAGGCAAAACATTGTTTTTCTTGTTAAATTTGAGGAACTAATGAATATTTATTCCTCGTTTTTATCATTAAACGTTTTAATATACAAAGTGGAACAGCCAAATGAAATAAATTGGATAATAAATAGATAGGGGCGTCTTCAAAAAACGCTCGGACGTCCAATACTGGATTGGTATTGTTAGTTCCGGAAAATTTTTCATACAAGATGTGTCATGTAACAGTTGCAAATACTATTTCTCTTAATACTGTTCTGACGCTATTTTCTTGTGGCATTTTAAATTAATTACTATTTAACTGGGAATAAGCCACAATTAAAGGTTAAAATACGTTTATTGACGTTTCAATTTCCACTTCGGAAATCTTTCTACTACGACAGCGGCTAACTTCCTTAAAAATCGATACCCTTCCCGGAGAACTGAACGACTTCTTCAGAACGAACTAAAGCTGAGTACTTTTTTATACTTTAGTTATTTTATAACGGCAACCGGCAGAATCTTTAAGTCACAGTTTCAAATTTTATTTTTTTTTCACATTCATAATTTGAATATTGTTTATTTTTTATTTTAATTACTATTTAACTGGGAATAAGCCACAATTAAAGATAAAAATACGTTTATTGACGTTTTAATTTCCACTTCGGAAATCGTTCTCAAAATACAATCAGTAAATTAAACAAATTTTGTTTTTTGTTACATAGTGAAAAAATTCTTCTAATAATTTAATTTTATCTGACTCATTTATATTGACAATTCAGACATACATTATGCATTTTAAAGTAGACGACTATAAAATGATATTGCCAATATTGTTGAGTTGCGCTCCTGGGACGACTTTACTTATAAGATAGTTCATTCGATTACATGAAATCAACTTTAACTTGAGAATATCCGTCAGAAAAAAATCATAGCATGTAATTCGTCTTTAAAAAGACAAACACATGACATGATGACAGTAAAATTCTCCTGTTAGTGATTCCATAGTAAATTATGAGGGAAAAACCAGGAAAAAAACCTCATAATACTATCCCGACATGGTAAGTATTTCTTCGTGCATTTAGTTTACCTTCAATAAACACCAAAATTCTGATTTTATGTGTTTCGTTATTTAAAAAACATAAATGATGTACCCTCTATATGTTACTGACTTACTAATACTGGTATTATAAATAAGGATTATTTCTTAATAATCCTTAATTATAATACCAGTATTAGTAAGTCAGTAACATATGTCTTAATTGTTGAAAATTCCTATAATAGGAATTTTCAACAATCGATCGAATAGAACAGAACAACTTAGAACAAGATCCTATAGCATACACAAGGAATAATACGAGGAAAATAACAAAACCGTACATAAAAGGATTATCAGACAAACTTAAAAGGATAGGAAATAAATTCAACATTTCAACAACATTCAAAACAACAAACACGTTGAGATCTATTTTGTCCAAAACCAAACCTAACAATGAACAAGAAAAGACAAAGAACTGCATTTATAAAATACCTTATGAATGCGATCAGTTTTATTTAGGTGAAACATCAAGACCATTAAATGTTAAAATAAGTGAACATCAATCTTATATTAAAAATAGAGAATTTGATAGATCTCAAATATGTAAACACGCATGGGATAATAAACATAGGGTTCAATGGAATAATTCAAATGTAGTCCTAAAAGAAACGGATGGTAAAAAAAGAAAAATCAAAGAAGCGGCTCTAGTTATGCTAAATGAGGTCAATTATGTCGCAAATTCCTCGGCAGAATGTTGTAGGATCTGGGTACCAATATTGAAAGAGGAAGTTATTAATAAGAAAATACCAGTATTATTAATCAGTAACATATAGAGGATACATCATTTATGTTTTTTAAATAACGAAACATAAAAAATCAGTAGAATCAGTAAAAAGTAAAGTCGTCCCAGGAGCGCAACTCAACAATATTGGCAATATCATTTTAAAGTCGTTTACTTTAAAATGCATAATGTATGTCTGAATTGTCAATATAAATGAATCAGATAAAATTAAATTATTAGAAGAATTTTTCACTATGTAACAAAAACAAAATTTGTTTAATTTACTGTTTGTATTTTGAGAACAATTTCCGAAGTGGAAATTGAAACGTCAATAAACGTATTTTTATCTTTAATTGTGGCTTATTCCCAGTTAAATAGTAATTAATTTAAAATACCACAAGAAAATAGCTTCAGAACAATATTTTTTATTTATTAAATAAATACACCTTTACTATGACTTCATAAGTTTTTTATTTCCTGTACCTTTCTTGGGTTGGTGTTGAGAAAGAATGAACAGGGAACTAACCCAGGATGAGCAGTCGGGCAGAGCCCCATTCTGATGGATGAAACGGTGGACGTTTTTCTCTTGAATATCCTTAGGGATATTCGAAGAATTTCTTCCCTCGTTTCTTCCGGCAGTATGGTGTTGCTTAACGCCCTGGTCTTAATAAGATTAAGACATTACAAAATAATGTCAATACCCTAAACGTAGTTACATAAAAATATAAGTAGCTCTTCCCTTTGGCAATCCAATCAGTTGAGTTTGTAAAATAAAGGTTTTATTGCGAAAAGTTTAAATTATTCATAGAGTTCTCACCAGAAAAGTTTCTTTAATGTTGAAAAAACACAAGAACCGATCTAATCGCAAGCATTATTCGTCTTTTACAGTCAGTATAATCGAGGGATTTAATTTTGTATACAATATTTTTGATATATCCCCATAAGAAAAAGTCTAATAGCGTCACATCAGGAGATCGTGCTTGGCATTATATCGATATTCGCCTCCTTATCCACCGATTTGGAAATATTCGATGAAGGTACTGAAAGTACATCATATCTGCTGGAACTAACGATTATATATGCGAGTAGCGCCTTTATATGTAGACAAAGGATTGGTTTCGAGAAAAATACAATGCAACAAAATAAAAGCATTTATTTATACGTTATAGATGTTTTAATGTTTCTTTACCTTCTCCTTTTTCGTCTTATTTGTAACTTTACAATTTCCTTTTATCATCTTGCATAAACATGACAATACTTTTTTAATCACAAAACCGATTAGAAATATAGCTCCAAAAATAAGTCCAAATACATCGAGCAAGTAATACTGATACCACGATAGGTCCAAATAGCCAACTCTAAGATGTTTAGCTCCGTTGTGCCTTACAACGTATTCTATCCAATAAACAGCTTCTTGTAGAGGACTCATTTGTCTATCGTGAAACATTTTGGATCGCGCTTGTACATTCTCTTGGTATCTGCAACAAAATTTAATTAAATATTGATGAATATGACCATGAGGCATAATATAATCTGTTCAAAAAAAGGAATACACAAAGCAATACAAAAACTTTAGGTACTACAAGCAAGGAACAAGTTGTCAGAAATTACTGGTAAAAGAACAACCTAGAAGAAGTGAAAAAACATAAACAAGAAATATAGCGTGCTATGTTGGGAGTTTTACTGCGAGACATGATTCGAAACCGCCAGCTACGACGAAGATAAGAAGTGGCTGATACAGTAGAGAGAATAGAAACACTGAAATGGACTGGACAGGTCAAATAACAGATAACATATGGACAAAGTGGATACTGAAATGAAGGCCAAGAGATGATGTCTACCGAAGCAGAGGTCGTCCACCAAACACGTTGGACTGATGATCTAAAACGTTGTCATAGGAATTGGATGCAAGAGGCACAAGATAGAAACAGATGGAAAATTATGTGGACAAATTATGTGGACGAAGATTGAATGATGAAGAGGCAACGTTGAAGAAAAATAGGCAATATGTAGAAACAGAAAACACAAATTTCTTACTTTTTATTTGATATCACCTCTTCTATTGCAGCTGAGACACTTTCTTCAGTAAGTGTATCGAAATCTACAACTTTGGCGTATCCAAATGATTCTGATTGCTTGGCATTTTGTTGTTGATCACCGAATATAGGAATTGCTACGACCGGAACTGCATGATATAAACTCTCAATAGTGCTTAGAAAACCTCCATGGGTGATGAAGAGTTTAATATTTGGATGGGCTGTAAAAAAAAACAAATAATTTTCAAAATTGAATTACTTTAGGTTCAAATATATACATGAAAACAAGCTGTACATATATTGTACATACAGGGTGTTTAAAAAAATGGTAACCCTGTCTCTAGAGTAGGTAAAAAACTGAAAAATATTTGGGGTTTGCTTAGTAAAAAATTTTTGTAACGCCATCCGTTTTCAAGATACAGGGCGTTGAAGAAAAAAAAAATTTACGCATTTTTTACGATTTTGCCGAAACTACTGGCAACATTGTGCTGAAATTTTATACGAATATGTTTTGTAAGCTGATACATCCCATGAATTTGTTTTTATATCTGATTCTCATAGAGGGCGCTACTTACACGGATCGTACTAAGTATTAGTCAATATAACTTTTTTAAGAGTATAATTATTAATTAAAATTTCAAGTAAACTTAAACATCATTCAATTTTACACGAAAAAGGTACTCTTGATAAAACTCGATACTGTGTACCGTTTTCGGAATATTTTAATTTTAAAATTTTTAAGTAAAAATTGATGCTGATATAAAATAGTTGGTAATTAAACAAAACTCACCAGAAGAAAATTATATTAATGACTAAGAATATAAAATAAAATTCAATTACAGTAAGTGTTCAAAATGTCCTCCGTTTTTGTGAATACATAAGTCTCTTTTCTCTTTTCTAAAGATTCCATTAACTTTCTAAATGGTAGGGGATCAGCTATGATGTCATTAAATTGACGTTGAATTCTTTCTTCCAATTCTTGGCGTGAATTTACCTCTGTAGCATAGACATTTTATGTCTGGAAAATGATTACTCAACCAATTACGACACCTTCTATCAAAGTGTGGTGGAGCTCCATCGTGCATAAAAAATAAAGATCTTCGCTCGTTTAGTATTAAACCTTCTAATATCTCGAATAAGGAATTGTTTAAAAAATCAAGATACATATCATCATTTAAATTTCCAGGTAGAATATGACAACCTATTAATTTGTTACCTAAAGTTGCTGCCCAAACAATAACTTTAAATCAGTGTTGGTAATGTGATACCCTTTTGACTCGTGGATTCTTATCACACAGTAGTGTGCATTATTGGAGTATAACATAGCTTGTCGCGTAAAGGTGGCCTGGTCCGTAAAAAGAATGCTTTTTAAAAAATTTGGATTGTGGGCTGTCCTTTGTTGCAATGTTTCACAAAAATCCACTCTAACCGGTAGATCATCTGGCAAGAGCTCTTGGACTTGTCTGTAATGATAAGGATGTAATTGCTGTTCTTTCAGTATCCGCCAAGTACTTGAAGAAGAAGTATTTGTTTGTTTTGCTATATTCCTTACGCTAACTGTTGGATCTTGATCAAGTGAATTTAAAATATTATTTTCTTTATTGATTGTTCTTGTTGTTTTTGGTCTACCAGAATTTATTTTATTTGGTCTCACATTCCCAGTTTCTCGACAACGTCGTTCAACGGCTCTAAATGTTTTTTTACTTGGTAAGTTTCTTCTAGGAAATTTTTCTGCATAATGTGTCACAGCTGCACTAGAACATCCTAAACATTCGCCTAAGGTTAATAACATATCAATGTATTCAACATTTGAGTACATTTTCATTTGATTTTACAAAAAACAAGGTTTCAAATTTCTAATTATTGTTGATTTATCGTCATAACAATAAAAAAATGTCAGATTTCCATGGCACACTTGGAGAAAATAGAGGTATACCTATTAGAACTTTATCATTACTACCAGCATCAATTATTACTTCAGAATTTCCAAATCAAAATATTCTGAAAACAGTACATAGTATCGAGTTTTACCAAGAGTACCTTTTTCGTGTAAAATTGAATGAAGTTTAAGTTTACTTGAAATTTTGATTAATAATTATACTCTTAAAAAAGTTATATTGACTAATATTTAGTACGATCCGTGTAACTAGCGCCCTCTATGAGATTCAGATATATAAACAAATTCATGGGATGTATCAGCTTCAAAAACATTTCGTATAAAATTTCATTACAATGTTGCCAGTAGTTTCGGCAAAATCGTAAAAAATGCGTAAAATTTTTTTTTTTCTTCAACGCCCTGTATTTTGAAAACGGATGGCGTTCCAAAATTTTTTTACTAAGCAAATCCCAATTATTTTTCAGTTTTTTACCTACCCTAGAGACGAGGTTACCTTTTTTGAAACACCCTGTATACTATGGAATCACTAAGAGGGGAATTTTACTGTCATCATTGCATGTGGTTGTCTTTTTAAAGACGAATCACATGCTATGCTTTTTTTGACCGATATTCTTAAGTTAAAGTTGATTTCATGTAATCGAATGAACTATCTGACAATAAAGTCGTCCTAGAAACGCAACTTAGCAATATTGGCAATATGATTTTAAAGTCGTCTACTTTAAAATGTGTAATGTATGTCTGAATTGTCAATATAAATGAGTCAGATAAAATTAAATTATTAGCAGAATTTTTCACCAAGTAACAAAAAACAAAATGTGTTTAATTGAATATTGTTTGTATTTTGAGAACGATTTCCGAAATGGAAATTGAAACGTCAATTAATTATTTTAAACTTTAATTGTGGCGTATTCCCGTTAAAATAGTAATTAAATTAAACCGGTTATTAAAAAAATTTTTACTCACCCAGTAAATCAGACTGTGGCAGCCATTTTTCTATCCTAACGTTTTTTGGTTTTCCCGGCAAACTATCGTCTTCAAATTTCCACAAAACACTTTCTTTCCTTTTAGAAAATGCCTTCATCAAAGCATCTTTGGTCTCTTGAGTCATTTCAGCACTTTTTAGGTTAGAACCCATACTAAAATAAATAACCCCGTGCTTTGCTTCATCTAAATACTTTTTTAGATCTACAGGAAGGGGTTTAGGTGGTTTAACGTGGAATCCAGCTATTTCCTTCATACAAGGGACTGATGAAGCTGGTTTGTTCAAGCTGGAGTGGGAATTTGAAAGTACTAGAGAAACGTTATACTGAACTGCTGGTAGATCTATATCTTTTGATATATATTTGTGAACGAGCTCATTTTGCTCAGGATATTGTAGAAGATTATGGTTGATATACATAAGTGCGCTAACCAAAGTGTTGATTAAGCGTTGCTGAAAGCTCATAAGTTCTGGATATCCTAATACAAGCTGCGGATTCAAAGACGGAAGGGTTGGGTTTCCAACGAAATGATTCATCCAACTATTTGCAGCATGGTTATTGAACAGGACTAAATGAGCATCGAAGTGAGGTGCTAGGGCCTTGACAGATTCGAGTGCGAATTGTGTAGTTATTACTATGTCAAATTTTTCATTGGACTTGATTAACGCCTGCATTTTTGAATGAGAGAGCACCAATTCGGATACTTTATATCCAATTGTATTAAAACTAAATAGCATATTGAGGGGGTTCTTTATTTTTGACTGCTTATTCGCAAGGTTCGTAACTTCTTTAAATATAACTAAAAAACAAATCATATTTCAAATTAAATTCAAATGTATGTATATATATTTAAAACGAAAGGTGAATACTATTCCATAACGTTATTAAAAACCCGGTTTTATCGGCTAAAAATAAACTAACCCTCGGTTATAGCGTCATAAAATTTTATAGTAGGTTATCCTTTTTTTATTTTATGAAGAATAAAGTGCAATGCGTTTCTGGCTTTGCGGCATTTGTTCCTTCCAAGAATGTAAAAAAGGTCCATTATCCATTCTGTGTACAGTTATGTATCCTAACAATCTATAATTTCGCATTTATCAGTGCCGTCCTAACACTCCTAACAGTCAAATTTTCTGTTTCGGAACAGTCGGTGTAAGAAATTTTCGCTACCGTGAAATTGTGTTCGGATCGTTTTGTTTTTTTTTTATTTTAATTTGGTAATTAGCTTTTATTTTTTAATATGGCAAGTTGTAGCACTAAAATGAAGGTTTTGCCTATTAAAGAAAAAGTGCGTGTTATAAGAGCATTTGAAAGTGGTCGAAAAATTGCTGATGTATGCCGGCAATTTGGACTTGTTAATTCGACTGTCGGTTCAATCATAAAAAACAAGGACAAAATTTTAAAAGCCTTTAAAGAGGACGGAAACAATGTTAAAAAGATTAGGAAGTGCATTCGTGGTGATGTAGATTCAGCTCTACTCAAATGGTTCAAGCAGTGTCGCAGTTCTGATATCCCTGTGTCCGGGCCACTTTTAAAGGAGAAAGCTACAGAGTTCGGAAAATTGTTTGGTGCAGATTTCACATGCTCTAACGGCTGGTTAGATCGGTTTAAAGCCAGGCACTCAATTTCCTTCTCGAAAATTGTTGGAGAGGCAGAATGTGTGGACGAGAACGTAACAAGTGACTGGTTACAAAACACATGGCCACAACAAAGGCAACCATACAAAGATGAAGATATTTTTAATGGTGACGAGACAGGTGTCTTTTATAAATTAACGCCAGACAAAACTTTAAATTTCAAAAATCAAAAATGTGTCGGTGGAAAACTTTCCAAACAAAGAGTGACGGCTTTTGTTTGTGTAAATATGACAGGTACAGAGAAAAGAAAGCTTTTGGTTATTTTGAAAAGTTTACATCCTAGATGTTTCAAAAACATTAAAACATTACCTGTAAACTACACAGCCAATAAAAAAGCATGGATGACTTCTGCTATTTTTGAAGAAGAATTAAGAAAGTGGGACAAGGAACTATCTTTTAAAAAAAGAAAAATTCTTCTCCTAGTTGACAACTGTGCAGCCCATCCCAAGATGTGTCTTGCAGCCTATGGACCAGGGAGTCCTAAGAAGTTTAAAGTGCCATTATCGAAAACAGCTTTTAAAAAGAATGATTTTTTGTATGGATAATGTAGAACCTGTGAAAATTACCATTCTGGATGCTGTTCAGTTTTTAGACAATGCGTGGAGTGCGGTTACGTCAGTGACAATTCATAAGTGTTTTCGTCAAGCAAAATTGACTGTAGCTTCTCTCAATGTTGAGGACGTTGATAAAGATGATGAAATGCCTTTGTCAGAGTGGATACAAAAATTTAATGTGAATCAGGGAGCGTTCGGAACTGATCTTGACTCCTACATTTCAGTAGACGATAAGGTGGAAACATTTCAAGTCCTAAGTGATAAAGAAATTGTTGAACTGGTGCAAAACGTGGAAATGGATGTCGATGAAGCTGAAGAAGAAGAAGACATCGTTGCTTGTCCTACAATCCAAGAAGCAATGAGAGCTGCTGAGACCATATCCAGGTTTTACTAGTTCAGGGAGGCATCCACAAATACCAAAGAAGCAGCTCAGCTTATTAAGGAAACAACAGAAAAACTTTATTTTTCGGAAAGGGTTGTGCAAAAGAAAGTAACGGACTAATATTTTCCCTCATTAAAATTTTATTTTTCTCAACCTCTTTTTTAACGTTACTCTGATATAGCGTCATTTTTTTATTGGACCCTTCAATGAAGCTATAACCAAGTTCCACTGTATTATTTAAATCTTGAATATGTTGCCTGTGTGGATCTAATTTAAATAGACTACGAGCTCAAGAGATTGAGACCTCGGAAGCCCTGAATAAGACATCGAAAAGGATGTCGAAAGTTAGGCGCAATGATAATTGACGCGGTTTAACCCGGAAGACTGTTGAATTTAAAATATTAATTCGTGTAATAGTATTAATCTTAGCTCTAGGTTTAATTAGGACCGAGGGGGCGATATTTTTTTACAAGAAGTCTGCACGTAGAAGGTAAGCGTATGACGTTATCTCTTTTATTGAGACAATTTGACCTTTTTTCAATTTCTATGGCTTCTTGGATAATAATAAATAATGCAGTTAAAATTGAATGGGAATTGCGAGCAGAAATGGAATGTTCATAAATCCTATTTTGGATTCGACGATTTTTTTGGCCTATATAGGATCGCGGACAGTCTGCACAAGAAAATTTAAACTCCGTGTTGTTCATTTGAAATGTTGTTTTTGATTGATCGGACAAGAGATGAAAGTTTTCGTTGGGAGTTAAATAATTCCTCTTAATTTTAGAATTTTGTCAATTTAGGTTAGTGACACCTTTGATGTAAGGAACAAAAGCTTTCGTATGATAAGGGCATGAGTCTTTGGATTGAGATTGAGTATGAGATTGATGTCTGTGGATGCTCCTATTGATGAAATTTTCGCGGTAACCGTTTTTAATGAGGGATTTTTTAACAAGAGATCTAAGCGGGTCTACTTGTATTATCTCAAAAGCGTATTGATCTAGAGACAAGAGTATTAATGACTGAATTAATTTGTTAGGGTAAATGATGAGAGTTGGCATGCAAGTAACGATTGGCATGTATGGGTTTTCGATAAACAGAGTAATGACAACCTTGGGATTGCTTTTTCTTTATGATATCGTCGAGAAACGGATGAATCAGTTTCTCCATCGTGAACTGGATACTAGGTTGTATACCATTCAGATGGGTTTGAAAAGACACCAAAGCATCCCTGCTATGGGGCCAAATGACCAATGTATCAACATATCGTAGCCAACATGTGGGTTTGAGCATTGATGTGGATAGTGCTCGGATCTCAAAGTCTTCCATAAAGATATTAACAATTACTGGAGATAGAGATGTTGGACTGTTGAATAGATGTTGGACTTCATAGCGATTTCGAAATCAAAATGGTAATACCGCAACAAATACCCTGTAAAGTAGAATCAACTTTTTTCTAAATAACTTTTTTGGATTTTGAATAATACTCACCGTGTATGAATTTTTTAACTAAAATATATTTCTGTCAAATTGACCTAGTTTACTTTTATAGCATAAAATCTTTTTTAAATTAATGATAGTTTCTTAAAACAGAAGAATTTTGTAAAACTTATACAGGGTGTTTCAAAAAGGTATGTCATAAATTAAATCACGCATTCTGGAGACAAAAATAAATTAATTGAATCTAACTTACCTTAGTACAAAAGTGTACACATAAAAAGTTACAGACTTTTGAAGTTACAAAATAAAAATTGTTTTTTTGCATTATCTCCTAAACTACTTGACATTTTGTAATAAAAATGGACACAATACTTTCTTGTTCTGAAACCATTTTTCATACAAAAGAAACAACAAACTCTAAGGGCGCAGAACAATTTTAAGGGGGTGTGCAGCCCTAAATCCCGCCAAACTTTTGAGTACGTTCAAATCAAATGAATTTTATGGCATCATTAGTTTATCACATTATTAAAACTTTTTTGCCTCCTATCACTTTTTCGAAAAACTAATTTTTTCCTAGTTGGCCATAAAATTACAATTAGTTTCTACGGATACAATAATTACAAACAGTTCCATCAATAATAGTAAATAATTTGAAGCTATCATTTATTGTGTAAATAAGATTAATATTAAAAATTTTGATATGACAATGGCCTACACATTTCAGGAAATTGCAGATATGCGATTAAGTTTGGGTAAGTTGGATCAGATTAAATTATGATTTCACTAAACTATCGGGAATATCGTAGTGAATGTCAAGGATATAGTGCAGCCGCCGCAAGGCGTTATGCAGTAAAATACCGAAATCGAAATAAACCCGATAGACGATTATTTCTGACCATTGATCGCCGTTTACGGGAAACAGGTACATTTCAACCACAAGTTGCTGGCAATAGTGGTCGTCCAATCATGAATGCAACTGATAAAGACATTTTAGAAATCATTAAAGAAATGAAATATTGGTTGTTAATGAAAAACACTCGAATTGTTAATTTTATTAGAAATATTTTGTTTACCGACGAGGGTACCTTCAGTAGAAATGGAATAACAAAATATCATAACGAGCACATTTGAGCCGACGAAAATCCTCACGCCAAAAAAACGACTCATCACCAACGGACTTTCAAAGTTAATGTTTGGACAGGAATTGTGGATAACAATCTAATAGGCCCAGTATTTCTTTCCAACAATTTAAATAGTGATAATTATTTGCAGTTCTTGGCAAACGATTTACAAAAGTATTTGGAAGAAGTGAATATTGCTTCTTCTTCTTCTTCTTTTGGCATCATAACCCTGGATGGGCCTTTGCCTGTCTGGCTATGTCCTTCCATTCAGATCTCTCTTGTTCCCTTCTTCTCCATTGTCTTATGTTCATTGTTTTCAGGTCGTCTTCCACGTCATCCAACCATCTCGTTCTGGGCCTTCCTTTTTTTCACCTTCCTATGGGCTTCCATTGTAACATTTTCTTTGTTGTTTTTGCATCGTTTTGTCTCTGCACATGTCCCAGCCATGACAGTCTTTGACTTTTCACAAATCTTACAATGTCATAACCTTCATTTAACTCATTATCCTCGTCATTTCTCCTGATTCTCCATGTGCCATCTTCCTCTTGTACCGGGCCATATACTTTCCTCAGTATTTTTCTCTCGAATGTCCTGAGTTGGGCTTCATCTTTTTTCGTCATTACTCAAGTTTCACATCCATAGGTTACTACGGGTCTAATCAGTGTTCTGTAAATAGTCATTTTGATTATTTTGTCTAATAATTTCGATGTCATTAATCTTTTATTAGCATAGTATGTACGATTCCCGCTGGAAATACGTGCATTAATTTTGCTACTTACGGAGTTCTTCTGATTGATTTCTGTGCCGAGATATGTAAAGGTATCCACTCGTTCGATAGTATAGTTGTCTATTTTGATATTATTTTCATTGTCAGTTATTATTTTGACTGTCATATACTTCGTTTTTGCTTCGTTTATATTGAGACCTCTTTTTCTTGCTTCAGAATCAATTTGTTTAAACACTTCCATTAGTCGTGGCTTATTCCTACTAATGATGGCTACATCGTCTGCATATGCAGTAATTTGTACTGATTTGGTGTTTATATGGCCGGTTATATTGGTTTTTTTGATGACTGCCTCAAGAACTAGATTGAATAGCATGGTTGATAGCGCATCTCCCTGTCTTACTCCCATGTTGATGTTAAACAGGGGAGTCAGTTCTCCATCTACTCTGACTGCGGCTTTTGAACCCTGCAACGTCATTTTTATGAGACTGATGTATTTCTTAGGTATACCTAGATTACAAAGGTCTTCCAGAATTATGTCTCTTTTCACACTATCAAAAGCTTGTTTAAAGTCTATATACATATTATATAGGTCTATGTCGTATTCATAACCTTTTTCTTGTATCGTTCTTAGTATGAATATGTTATCTGTAGTGGCTCTATTTGGTCTGAATCCATTTTGATAATCACCAATTATATTTTCGGAGTATTCTAATAATCTATTGTAGATTATACCAGAAAGAATTTTGTATATTACATTTAGCAATGTAATTGGCCTAGAATTCTGGCATTCCCTCTTATCTCCTTTTTTATATATTGGCTGTATGAGGCCAACTGTCCATTCCTCTGGCATTTCTTCCTTCGTCCATATTAATGTTATTAGGAAATGGATTCTTTCCCAGAGTTCGGATCCTCCATGCTTTAATAATTCTGCCGAAATACTGTCCGTTCCTGGTGCTTTATTGTTTTTTAGTTTATTTATTATCTGAACTACTTCTTCATAACTCGGATTTTCGATGTGCAGCTCCGCCGTATAATATATTGTCTCGTTCTGATCATTTTCGTTGTCTGCATTTAGATTTTCTTCGAAATATTGTTTCCATCTCATTATAATTTTTTGCTTCTCTGTTAGTATTTCTCCGTCCTTGTCTTTGCATATCGTTAGTTTTGGTCAAAATGACTGTGTGCTTTCTTTTATGCATTTATAGAATTTTCTGCTTTCACGTCTGTTGTTATGCTTTACGATTTCTTGAACTTGTTTTTTCATAGCCTCTCTTTTCTTTCTTCTGCATATTCTAGTAAATATTCTTCTTATTTAGATGCAAATCCACTAATGAATGTTAGCGATCACATTTTCCATTAATTCTCTATTTCTTGCAATATGTATCAGAAATTGTATGTCGTTAATCCCTGTCCATTGCCTTATGTTTCGGAGCCAGGACATTTTCTTGCGTCCCATTCCTCTCTTGCCTTCAATTTTACCCTCGATTATAAGTTGGAGCAACTAGTGAATAGTGCAATAAGACAAAATATGTGGTTTCTACAAGATGGCGCTCCACCGCACGTTCGATGGATTGTAAGGGGTCGTGACGCACATATTTCTTGGCCACCCAGAAGTCCAGGTCTTAACCCCATGGACTTTTGCTTTTGGGGGTTTATAAAAAAGAAAGTGTATTCTGTAACAATAGAGAACGAAAAACAATTGAGGCTTAGAGTAATTGAAGCTGCAAATCAATTTCGCCAGAAAAATATGATTTTTCAGCGCATTCGGTTTTCCTTTCCAAAATGGGGGTCATTTTGAATATTTATTGTAATATCATATTTATAGAGGTTATAAACATTTTTTGTACTTATTAATTCATTTAAGACATTTATTTATTGCACGTAATTCCTTAAAGGTTAATAAAAAGGGCAGTAACTCAATAAAAATTGTTTTTTGAAAGAAAGGATAGGAGGCAAAAAATTTAAAAAATAATGTGTTAAAATAATGATGTCAAAAAATTCATTTGATTTGAACGTACTTAAAAGTTTGGGTGGATTTAGGGTTGCACACCCCTCTTAAAATTTTTCTGTGTGTTTAGATTTTGTTGTTTCGTTTTTATGAACAATGCTTTCAGAATAAGAAAGTAACGTGTCCATTTTTATTACAAAATGTCAAGTGGTGTAGGAGATAATGGAAAAAAACAATTTTTATTTTGTAACTTCAAAGGGCTGTAACTATTTTGTGTACACTTTAGTGCTAAGATAAGTTGGATTCAATCAATTTATTTTTGTCCCCGGAATGCGTGATTTAATTCATGACATACCTTTTTAAAACGCCCTGTATATTTGCCAAGACTAAAATCTTAAAAAAAAACAGTTTACCTTGTTGTTCTTCCATAACACCGTCTAAAATAATCTGACGGTATGATCCATTTTTCGGTGGATTTTTCTCTTCGAAAACGGTTATCATGGTAACGTCATGACCTGCGGAAGCTAAGCCCTTCATCAGCTCGTTTCCTAAAAAATAGTGACTGGGAGCTCCAAACGGAAATACTCCCAAAATTTTATAGGGACTCACATAATCAACACTTGAAAATATTAGCGCTAAACTTAATATTAACGTTAGTTTCGACATGTTTATAAATCACTAGTGTTTTTATTGTGATTACAAAACACAATTGAACTGATTTTTCCTATGGAAATATCACAAAATTTGACTTAATAATATTATCCGTACGATAAGAAAGATATACACCGTAGATAAGATTGGCATTTTTTAAATTGATAGTTAGGATGTGAACAAATAACATTACATAATATTGTTCAAGGATTTTACTGTAACCTTCTTGTTCCGTAAAGAATTCTATAACATTACATATAGCCCAGTCTACATACGCAAAAATCATCAAAAAATATTTTTAGTGTTATTTACTGTATATTAGACGCTATAAGCTCCCAAAAATTTATTTGGACGATCGTGACGTTCAGACTCAAACTCAACTTTCGGTGTCTCACTTTGTATGGTAATAAACCATTCTTTTTTTCGCTTTTAATTAAAAATGCAATTATTATTTTAGTGAAAAATAAGCCACAATAAAGTTTATATATGATCTTTTACATCTGACCATTCAGGGAAAGATCCAAGGTAATCGTGGTCCTGGTAGAAGAAGAACATCATGGCTGAAAAATCTAAGGCAATGGTATGGAAAATCAACTACATCGTTATTTAGAGCTGCTGTCAATAAAGTCGCGATAGCGAATATGGTAGTCAACATGATATCCAACGATCGCTAACGGTCATGGAACTAGAAGAAGAAAGTTGAAAATAAGTTTATTTTATTTTTAATTAAAAATGTTCTTTTTCATGTCAAGGAACGCAACTGTCGAGTGAAATAGTACTTCAGTTAATTGGTGATGGTAATGATTCGGAAATTGAAGCTGTGGAAGATGACGAAGGGAATTTAGAAGACTCGGTTTTGCCTTTGATATACGCTGATGATCCTAAATTACCTCCGACTCCAGGTCCATCTTCTGCAAGTGCATCGAGAGCTCGTGAGAAGTCGACCAAATGCCCAGATACTCGCAGAAGAATATGGAAGCAGATACCATTCAATCAGAAGGAACACTCCTATTAACAGCGACCACAAGCAGTAGTAAAGTCTACATTGGCCTACTTTGAGGACTATTTTGACGATAAGTTTTTTGAACATGCTTCAGTTTGCACTACTAATTATTACATGGGAAAAACAGGAAACGTGCTAAACACCAAAGCAACAGAGTTGAAAAAATTTGTTGGAATTCGTTTCATCATGTGATATATTCGATATCCACGCATTCACATGTACTGGCGGATAGAAATGCGATTAGCTCTAGTTGCTGACCAGATTTCTAGAGATCGTTTCAAAGTGCTGCGTATGGCTTTCCATGTTGTCGACAGTGACAAGGCTCCTACAGGAAACCAGAATTCACTCTGGAAGGTACAACCTGTACTTAATCAAGTCAAGAATGCTTGCGACAGATTGGAATGCCAACAAGGATTTTATTCCATAGACGAGCAAATGATGCCGTTCTGTGGGGCTTGTCCATCTGGTTTGAGTAAAGTTATAAAAACAAAACCACGTCCACAAGGGCTAAAAGCTTTCATTGCTAGTACACACAAAGGTTTGATGATCGACTTCGAAGTTTACCAGGGTGCTAAAACAAACTTAGGAGACATATCGCTAGGTTGGAGCTTCTGTCATTCTTCACCTCTCTAAATATATTCCACGTGGCAGTTGTGTATATTTCGACCGGTTTTTCGCATCTATACCTTTACTTGAAAGATTAAGTGCTATAGGACTTCATGTACGATTGTACGTATTAGATTCAACATCAATGGGAATACCCAAATGTAAAATAATGGATTTACGATAATTTCCAACACCTTTATCAACGTCTGTTTTGCTTTGCAATTTTTAGAAAGCACAGATTAAAGCGGAAATCTGAATTGTGTTTCGAAACTATTTTACGGTTTTATTGTCAGATGTCGCTATTGCGTCCGTATTAAAGCCATTTTAGTGTGGCTTCTTAAAAGACAGAAAATATTGATCATTCACGTTAAAAACACATTTGAATAACTGTTCTAATGAGACCTATTAGGTCGAAATACGGATCAACAGATACAAAGGCGCTTTTTGCGTGAAATCAAATATTTGCTGTCTTTTCACAATATTTTTTATGTTCTGAGGCTTCTTTACGCATTTTCTGGACGCTTGCCAAACATAATAATCCATGTAGTGATGCGTTTATCGTTTAAGGGTGTTTTCTGGAAGCAGGAAATTCATTATTTGCGTGTGATCCTATGTGCAATGAAAATTTAATATCGTATCATTGTATTATTCATCGAAGTGTGTTGTGTTGCAGTTTAAATCCAAATCTTCACAGTAAAGAAAGACACTATAGTTGCAGAAACAATATACCTATTAACTTTATAATCATCCTTTTCCTTTAGTTTATTTCATACCCCTCCCTAAACGAGGTGGCCTAGTTGCCTGGTTTCAACTACGTAAATGATCTCCTGAGGAGGAGTTACAACTACTGGAGGGTTTCTGGTCAACCAACCCCCGGTTACGCCACTGCCTGGTTTAGCGCTGAATGTCCGGACCGCGGAATTGTTGTAGGTTTTCTAAACGGACCCTCAGGGAATATAATTGGTGACCTCTGCCCTAAGGTTCCGAGTAGTGCATCAGCGACAGACATCGCTGTCCATAAGTCTAGATATCGGCTGCATCACTCAGAATTGACAATAGGTTATTAAATCTGCCAATTAGTATTTGAATTACAATCATCTACAAGTTAAACTTTCGAGATTTTTCGATAATTTGGCGAATATTAAGAATATGTTCTTTTGTTGCTCTACCTGGTACGAATCTACATTGTTCTTGGACAATTTGTGGTAAGAGAATTGATTTTTGTCGTTCATTGATAATGATTAGAAGTACTTTGCTCGCGTGTGATATCAATACGGTAATTACTGCAATCTGTCAGTTAATCTTTTTTATATATAAGAATAAACGTAAGTTTACCTTGAGATTATTGTCTAGGTCGTTGTTAGAGAATAGTTTTTTGCAATATTGTTTCCACACCTCTACGAAACCGGCTAGGTTTGTTAGGGTATTTCCACTATTATCATTGATGATCTTTGTCTGCGGTTTGAATTCTCTCGCTAGATACTTGACTTTTGAGAAAAGTTCTCTAGATTCTTGACGTCCAGCATGTTCCTCTAGTTGTACACATATGTTTTTAATATAATTATTTTTGTCTCTTCTGCACAAGTGTTTTATAGTTGTATTTATGGTGCATATCGCCAATTCTTTCTGTTTTTAATTTGAAGTGCCGTTTCTAAGTGTTCGTCTTTTTTCTACAAGATTGAGAGTCTTTTCAGTCATCCAATGCTTTTTTCTAGCTGTTTTGTCTTTGGGATTAGTATTGTTGATGGCTTCAGTGATCCATTTCTTTGTGTATCCCCACGTTTGGTCAGGGTCTTCGGTAGTCACTGGTAGGTCAGCCTCGGCTAATGATTCTCTAAACTTTTTCGGGTGTTTTGAAATTAATTTTTATCTTTTATTTGTGATTGTCATATAGTGTAACTTAATGCGAAATTTTGCTTGTAACATTTTGTGGTCGGAACTATTCTTCCCGTTGATTATTGAGCTCAAGAAGATGATAAAGATCATGTTTAAATATTGTGTTTACTATACTAAGATCCATTCGAGGAACTGCAAATTATGTTGGGGGAACTAGCAGCCAGCTCCCAATACGTCGGCCTAAAAATGAATATGAAAAAAACAAAAATAATGACAAACACAGAAGACCCCAGACATATAACTATAAACGGCAGTGAGATAGAACAAATCCAGGAATATATCTACCTAGGCCAAATCCTGAGACTTGACAAAGAGAACCAAAGTGCGGAAATTACTAGAAGAGCAAGACTAGCATGGGCAGGATTTGGAAAACTTAGTTGAATACTTAAGAACCGCAAAATATCCCAATACTTGAGGAGCAAAGTGTTCAACCAATGCATCCTTCCTATCATGACATATGGATGTCAAACCTGAACCTTAACCAAGGCAAACATGAATAAACTAGCCACAACAGAAAGAACAATGGAAAGAGCAATGTTAGGTATACGGCTGTGAGATAAAAAGAGGATCGACTGGGTAAGATCCAAAACAAAAGTCGGGGACATAACTTAAATGGAGGTTCGCGGGCCACACTGCTAGACAAAAAGACCAACGTAGGAATACTACAATATAACATTGGAGACCTTACGAAAGTAAACGACCAAGAGGAAGACCACAAATGAGATGGGTTGATGACTTTAGAAGAATAGCCGGAACAAATTGGAAATATGTTGCTCAGGATAGAGACCGATGGAAGGAGTTGGATAAGGTCTATGTCCAAACATGGACGACAGAAGCCTAAGAAGAAGAAGATACTAAGATCCATATCGATGGCAAATTAAAGGAGCCGTTCACCTCGTTCATTTCGTTCGTCTAAGTCATGCTCACCTATCGCTCCATTCAAATGGTCATCTATTTCAGTTTTCCTTATCTTATAGTATTATAATGAAATATTGTGTTACACCCTAGGCTCTAGTCTAATATCATATTCAAAGAATATACGAGTTCAATGTAAATCTGGTTTCCAGGCAGAAAATTTAATTATAATAAGTACTAAGACATGGAGAATACTTGCTCTGAATAAGGGATGCTAAAAGGATATTTTAAGGAAATTTAAGACTCATCAAGAACTGTATAGCTATAAAGAATAACAGAAGATAAAATCAAATCTTTATTTACTTCAATTTACTGTTTTTTTACTTTTTTAGATGGTTTCTTATTATTTGTACATATTTTACACAATAACGAGATTATCTTTTTGGTAACAAAAATAATCATAAAGAGAACTGCAAAAATTAATCCAAATACATCCAGCATGTACCACTGATACCATGCCAAGTCGAGGTAACTAACTCGAAGATGCTGGGCACCGTTGTGTCTTACTACGTACTCTATCCAGTAGATTGCCTCTTGCAGAGCTGGAATTGGTCTGTCGTGAAAGATCTTGGATCGACTTCTCACGTTCTCAAGATATCTGAAAACAGAATAAAAGCGAAAATGAGAAAATCTATAAGAAACTTACGAAGCACTCGAACGAACAAATAATATTCTTCTTTATTTTCGTGAATTACAGATATACCGTTGAGTCCATGGTTCTTTACCCGTGGGTCATCAATACCTGGCGAGATAAAAGATTAAATTAAATTAAATTCCTTATTTTCTTATTGACAAACATAGTTTGTATAGAATTAGTCATAAATATACATTGCTACAAACTAAACACTAAACTAGACTAAACAAGACATGAAATGAATTTAAAAGCTAAATGAAATACAGCTAATATCTAAGATCTAAAAAATTCTTCGATTGTATAAAACACTTTTTCACATAAAAATTGCCTAAGATTCCTCTTAAATACTTAACTGGTGGACTTTACAACTGTGGGCAAATGATTAAACACCTGTAGCCCGTATACCCTGGGCGATTTAAATTTAATGTTACCTTTTGAAAATGGTATATAAAGTTTATTACAATATCTAGTATTTAAATTATGCATATCACCACTCGTTTTAAACTGATGTAAGTTATTAAAAATAAAAACACATAATTCAAAATGTATAGACACGCCAATGTTAAAATTTTATATTTTTTAAAATATTCTCTACAACTAGTTAGTCGGGAGACACCAGCGACACAACGCAATATTTTCTTTTGTATGACGAAAATACCATTTGCATAACCAGACATACAAAAATATATCCCGTATCTTAGCCTGGACTCTACGAGTGCATAATAAATCATAATTAGCTGATTTTCCGTCAGAACATATTTTAAATTTCTAATTAGATAGTTAATGGAACTCAACTTCGAAACAACCGCTCCACAATGCAACTTCCAATCCAAACTTTCTTCAATCGTTATTCCCAAAAACTTGCCTGACGAGTGACGACACCGTACTTATTTGAGGTACGGTGTCGTAAATTTACGTCGGTGACGTAAATTAATATTAAAATTCAGTAAAACATTGAGTAGATTAACATGGTCGTTAGTCATATGTCTGGTATCTACATTAAAATCATCACATATTACAAAACGTGCATTTGGTTAATGGTTAATATAAACAATTTAAAATACCTTCGAGGTTATTCAAAAAAATACTTAAATCACCAGATGGTGATCTGTAACAATTTAATATAACATATGAGTTATTTTTCTTGTCTTTGAAAGAACTAATACAATATTCAGAATGTTTATCAACACAATATTGCTTTATCCTAGAGTTGAGTTTGTTATTAAAATTAAGACCTTTTCGAACCCAAATTCCTACGCCTCCTCCTCTTATTGAGTTATCTCGCAAATAACAACTTGCTAGGATAAAACCTTCAATGTTGACGTTCCCAATAGAATTATTTGATTCCCATAATTCCGTTAAACAGATTTATGCTCTTATGAGAAGTAAATTCTATAAGTAAAGATATACTTTTTATCTAGCATCATTGATTTCCAATCATGAAACTAAAGACAAACCAGCTACCGCTGTTATTAAGTAAAGACACTTGTTATTTTTATGAACGCTCTAGACTCCGTACATCAAAAAGAGATAGGTAGAAAAAAAGACGCTTGGGGACGTTTTCAGATTTTAAATACAATTTGTGATGTTTCTGGTTTGTTTACTTGTGGCTGTCAGTTTTTTGTATTTTTTGCTATTTTCTTGTCTTCACAAAAACATTACACAAACATTTGTCTTCACATTTAATTTTATACTGGAGTTTGAGATTGCATGATACGTGTATTTTATTTGGCCATTAATTTACATCCAAAATTAACCTCATTCACACAGTTAAGTAATGGTTTTGTTTAAGTTTCCGCAAACGTTAAACAAATGGCAAAGAAAAAATTTACTCTGGTACTGGTACACTGATAAACGAAACGACATGTTCTGTACAAGAGTTTGTAACGATGAGTGCAAGCCATCACCGTTAAACCAGCGTGCGCGCGAACCAACCCATGTAGTAGGAGTGTATCGACAGTAGAAAGGGCAAAACTAATTACCAAGCTCCGCTATATAAACCGCAACATGTCCTTATAGAGGAGAATCGACAGGTGTTGACTGAAGGTTCTCTTCTTCCCTACCCCGGCTTGTGGACGTGTTGAGTTCACAAGTTGTTCCGTTCCATACCGCCGTTACCCGAAGAGCGTGTTGAGCTCTTCACTACCCGTACTCTGAAGCAGTCATGTTGAGACTGTCGAGGAGTGTCCTAATAACCCGAATCACTTAAGGAACGTGTTGAGTTCCTTTCCTTTCTTTGTACCTATCGTCCGCTGTTATTAAATCGATACAACGTTCACGTAAAATTTCAAATACACACTCGCTTGCCGATAAGACTAATTTCATATGACAAGGTCAAACTTAATTTGAATAAATAGGCCAGGTACTGAGAAGACTAAACCAAATTGTAAATATGTACATAAGATTTTTGACAATTTAATTTAAGGAAGACAATAAAGTTTTATTTTTATTTTGAACTCTGTCTCTGACTGTCCAAAAGCTACCCGGATAGTGACTCCTACGAGAGGACGTCACAAGTTTAATGGAACAAATCCATTTAACAGACCACCGCTACCAAAAATAAACTCTTATAAAAAAACTAGATGCTCTGTTACAAATTATGAATACTGAAGTCCTACCCAATTACGTCGTAGAAGCCCATACGCTGGAATATTTGCAGATGTTTATTTACTGTGCAGTAACAGCAACAGCTAATGTTATGAAAATTAAGATCAGAACACGACGGGGCACCAATGCCGGAAGGACAGATAACAGATTTGCGCCCTGGGAGAAACGGCTTCTAAACAAGATTGAATTATTGCGTAGGGACATTGGTCAAATGACAGAATATATACGAGGAACAGCTAGTAGAAAAGTTATTAAAAGAGCTGATCAAATAATGCTAAGCACTGCAAGATACTCGCAATATGATCCAGAAAACAACACAGCCCAACACTGCCTGGATACATAACAAAAACTCTCCATTTATTCAGGACGATTAAGGAGGTACAAAGTTAGTTACAGACGGAAATGTGGCAATGCGCTTTTTGAGAATGCCGAGGAGACGTTCTATTGTAAACTCAATTCCACTGTCGAAAGTGCCAATAAATCATACCCAAGCCAAAAGGAAATTCAGGGGTTTTGGGGAAATCAACTTTCCATAACAGCTGCTCTTAACACCAATGCTGGATGGATAGGAGATACGACGCACTACCGTACAACTGTCTATTAAACCTTTATCACAGAAGAAGTATCTAATACCATCTAAGAGCTTCATTACTGGAAATCTCCTGGACGGAGTTCAAAACTTCTGGCTTAAATAGTTGTGGAGTGCTCATGAGTGCTTGTCAACACTAATTAAACGTGTTATTTCTAATCCGCAGGAAATATTATCATTCCTAACTTAGTGAACAACTTATTTAATACCTAAGGATCAAGGATCACGTCCTGTGTAGCCTAGTGTATCTACCAACACTGCGATCTAAAAATATCATAGAACCTCAACAGAAAGGATGCGCTAAGGGTTCCATGGGTTGCAAAGAACAACTTATTATCGACTTCAATCGAATCAATCAAATGACAAGACCATCAATCAAATGTTATTTAAAAAATAAATTGTAAAGACTGTAATTCAACATATATTGGGAAAACACACCAATACCTACATGGAAGAATTGTTGCACACAAACATAGTGTACAGATCAATGTATTAAACACCCCAGCCCAACCTACTCTAGAAAATATCCATTCTTTTGATTTTAAAAATGCACAGATTTTGGAAAAAGAACAAAATTACAACAAAAGATGCATATCTAAAATGATTCACATAAGAAAAGATCCAAATTTTATCAAAAATAAGACTGACGTCAAAGATCTTTCCAATATGTATCATAATTTAATAAATTGAGTTGTTTTTAAATGCACTATGGCACATATTTAAGATAAGTCCCTGACCCACTCCTATTTCGAGATACCTGCCAGATGTCATCTGTCAATGTCAGAGACAATTTTTTTAATCCATGTTAAACTTTTAAAAAGTTTAAACAAGCAATTGATTTATGTAATGTATGGTTTTTAAAATAAAGTTAATAAAGTGCTTATTGAAAATGGCAAATCTGCCGAAACGTTTAAGCAATAATTAAATAGTTTTATTTACAACAAACCGACAAACCTAGGAAATAAAAATGTTTTTCATTCCTACTTACTTTTTATTTGTCAAAACTTCTTCTATAGCATCTGATATCGTTTCTTCGCTAAGCTTAGTAAACTCAACCACTTTTGTAAAGCCATGTCTTTCCGCCATTTTGGCATTTAACATTTGATCACCCAAAATTGGAATAGCCACAGTTGGTACAGCGTTATATACAGTTTCTACTGTACTTAAAAATCCTCCATGTGTAATAAACAATTTTATATTTGGATGCGCTAAAAAGTAATAATTGTTTAATGAGAATATAAATCGGAATAGCTTGCCAAGTTCCCTCTGATGGAATGAAGAGGCAGAAATATGCATATCAGCGAATGGTTGTCTATAAAATGAACGAACCGTCTATTTCATCTTTATTTTTAACAGTTGTTTATTCACAGTTACACATTTGGCAACACTTACCTAATAAATCTGATTGTGGCAACCATTTTTCAATTCTAACATTGTTTGGTTTTCCTGGCATGTCATCAACTTCAAATTTCCACAGGATATTCTCTTTCCTTTTGGAAAAAGCCTTCATCAAGGCTTCTCTTTTTATGATAGGTAAGTCTGCACTCTTCAAGTTTGAACCCATACTGAAATAAATAACTCCGTTTTTTGCTTCATCTAGATACTTTTTCAGGTCTTCGGGAAGAGGTTTAGAAGGCTTAACGTGGAATCCTGCTATTTCTTTCATACACGGGACTGCCCCTGCTACTGGGTTTAAGCTAGGGTGGGAGTTGCTTAGCACTAACGATACATTATAGGCAACCTTCTCCAAATCTATGTCTTTGGATATGTATTTACGAACTAATTTATCTTGACTTGGATATTGAAGTAGATTGTGGTTTAAATAGGTAAATATAGTAAAAACGGTATTTAGAAGCCTTTGTTTAAAGTTCATAGGTGAAATGTATTGCAAAGCAAATTCAGGATTTAATGACGGAAGACTAGGATTTCCTACAAAATGGTTCATCCACGAACTAGCAGCAATAGGATTGAAAAGAACCAAATGGGCATCGAAGTATGCAGCAAAACCTTTCAGAGAATCAAGAATAAATTGAGGTACGATGACGACATCGAATTTCTTTTCCGACTTTAAGAGATCTTGGGTTTTAGTATTATTCAGAGTCTTCTCTGCTATTGTATAACCGAACTGGTTAAAAGTCATTAGCATTACAACGGGATTGTTGAACATACCATGATCTTGCTTGTTTTTAAAATCAGCCACAGCCCTAAACATAGCTGAAAGAAAAAAATACATGAGATTTATAATAAAGTATGGCAGAAAAATTTTTGATTATATATATATATATATATATATATATATATATATATATATACATATATAGAAGATTTAAAAGATTTATATAAATAACAAAAAGAGAAATCAAACGATTTCTACCTGGCGAAATCGATATTTTATATAAATTTATATATAATATATTTATATAAATCTTTTAGCAAAAGGTGCTATCGCTTTGTAGAATTGAATGGGAAAATATGACTTAGGACAAATTCGTTAAACTTCCCGTGCTTGAATCGGTATCAATAGATGAAGCAGGCATGCTGTAATGAGTTATAACACTTTATTGATACTGGTTCGACCACCGGAAGTTTATTGATTATGATATTGGTACATTGATTAGTTTGTCGAGTTCTTCAGAATACTGAATGAGTTTGTGATGGGCTATCTCGAGGTCTTCAGTATTGATCTTGCCAAGCTTCAGTGGTTTTAAATCGGAAAGATGGATCTTACATGGGAAGTATTTGCAGCAGTTGAGTGGTATTGGGACTGAATGACTTCTGTAAATAACATTATCGTGGACGTCGATCAATTTCTGAGAGAGTACTCTTGTACTGCTAATAAAGGCATCGCAAGTAAATGATCTCCGATTTGACGTCTCTGGACACGCATTTGATGGTAATAGGCACTGGATCAGAAACTGTTATGAGCCACAGATTCACGTTGATCTTCTGGACGTTGTAATCTTTGGTGAATACTACGGAAGTCTGACATGTTCTTGTAGTTTCAGAAATTGGGCTTCGTATGTGGCATCGCTGTCGATCGGGTATGGAAGTGTGTTGTAGCAGATCTTGTTTCAACCTCGCAAGGTTTTGCATGACTCAAGACTATTTATTGTAAGGTATCACAATAAATCATCATTTCGCGTAATGTATTTATGTGTTGTTTTTAATCTGGAATAAAGACTTGTTCGATTAATAAAGTTTATTGTTCTGCATCAGTTAAAAGAATATTTAAGACAAACACAACTCTTGTGTCTAGTTGATAGGTTTGTAAATTTATAATATCGAGATATTAAGCTAGATTCGAAGGATATATTGATAATGGAAGATTATTTTTTGTAATGATTGTGATATATGTCTAAGCGATTCAATTAAATCAAACGGAGTGATGATTGAGCTATGTAATATTTTTAACCGAGCAAAGGTTATGGCATTTACTGTACCATTTAATGAGTCTTCGATAAATGAATAGCTTTCCATTAGTAATTCACAGAAATTTAGCATATCAATTAGAGATTGATAGAATTTTAATTGGTCAGAGGTATCCATTATTGACTCTCGAATTTCTTTAATATTATTGTTGAATGTTTCCTCATGACATTTGATTTGTCAATAGGTTTTCGATTTGATACTCATTGCGGCTTATTTTATTTATACATGTATTAAAATATTCGCCATTTGACGAGCCTAAGTTTCCGGTAATTGATTTCCATATCGAACCTATTCCGTTAATAAACCCATATTTCTCTCGGAATGTGTATTGTTTCGTATCAGCCATTATTTCTATATATTTGAGATTAACAAAACTAGAGATTTGTTTGAGAAGACTTATGTGAGTTTAGACTTTGGATTTGAATGCCAGCATTCAAGGCACATCTTTTTCAATGGTATTCAATAAATTTTTTAAGATTTTGTCATTTTTGATGATAACGTCTCTGATTGGTTGCAGGTTTTTATATACAAGGAGGGTTCATTTGTCGTTTAAAATTTTGAGATTGGTTTCTTCAAGAAAAAAGATTCCAATGGTGTTGTTGATTGGGGTTAACGTATACTGGGAGTGGATGACTGGAATCAGTCTGAGGAATATTAGTTTCAAAAACATTAGTCGTTTTGTTCTCGACAGCAGTTCCAGCAGAGGCTTCACTTGGTGTTCCTTCCGTAGATTTCTGCAAAGTTAAGACACCACTATTTTTTAGAGTTTGCTCGTTCTTTTCTGATTAAAGGATTGGAATCCACCGTTGTTAGTTAAGTTTTTTCTTGTTCTGTCAACGTTTCCAGATCTTACTGACTGCGCCACTTTTTATATCACGAAAAACTTTTTGGACTTTTTAAACAATAATTTTATTTCGAAAATACAATAAGCAAAGTAACGTGCTACAATTTTAATTATACTGAACCAAAATTAAAGAGCGACAAATTGTTTTATAAGATGGGTAACTGCTGACTCAGTGGGAAAGTATAAAAACCTTGGGTCCCGTTGACTTGGCTGATTATGCATTTGCAGGGATCCTTTCTGGTAGTTAGAAGTTGAAACCTCATACCCTGGATATCGTCGTTTTAAATAACATTGGTTGGTACAATGCATATAACGTATATATGTCGCGATGAAAATTGTTGCATTGACTTACTTGGGAGTAGTACTAAATATTAAGTGTGATCCAAATACAGAAAGGAAAACTAGAAGTCGTCTTTGAAATGTGGTTTTATTGCAGATTACTCAGAATATCAGGGACACGATACATTACGAATCGAACAGTATTAAACACCATAAAAAGAGAGTTAAAACTTATAACAACGATTAAGAAATTAAAGACTTGGTACTCAGGATGCATAATAAGAAATGACAAATATAACCAGCTACGAATAATAGTTGAAGGGAAGATATAGGGCCAAAGCGGAATATGCAAAAAGCCATGTCATGGCTTTGCAACATCAGAACTTGGACGTGCATGAACCTTCAATAATTACTAAGAGTGGTGCAGAATAGAGAACATTTTGATGTAGTGATCACAAATATCCAGTAATGGAGTACCAGAAGCAGGATATTTAAAAAAATTACTTATTTATCAAGGTTACTCAATTTGGACCAATATAGGAGTTTTAAAAAATGTTTAACTAATTAAACAAAAAGATAATATTTTACTTGCCTTGCTGTTCTTCGTATAGATCTTTCATTACAATTTGATTGTATTTTCCATTCTTGGGTGGATTCTTCTCTTCGAAAACTGTTAGCATAGTAACGTCATGTCCTGCCTCGGCCAACCCCATCATTATTTGACTTCCTAGGAAGTAGTGGCTGGGAGCAGCCATAGGAAACACACCTAAAATCTAACACATACGCAGTGAAATGATTTATCCGAAAAACAATAAAATACTGAGCAGTTAGAAATAAAAATATTTGCTTAAAATATAGAAAAATAAAATCTACAGAACGAAATGGGTGGTTGTCTCAGAGTATATATGATTCAACAAATAGACATAAACTATTTATAGCTATAGATTAGTCCAAAATATTGTCCAATAAATATTAACTGTCCTATTTTTACGATAGCATTGCTACGCCACTGATGCACTGATGCGTGGGGAGCAATTCAAATGTTCGTATGTAGATAATTTTGTGCTACTATTATTACAATCAATGGAATTTTTGTTTTGTGGAAGAATTAATTAGATAATGTTGATCTGTTATTAATAGATTTCAGTGGTATTTACCTTACGGTTACTTTTCCATTTAAATAGATTGTAACCACATGGGAAATACGACTGAAATAATAACTATTAGAAAGTAGTTCATAGTACAATGCCATTTTGCCATTGGTGGTCTTCCCCTTTTCCTTCTTTCTGGCGGAACATACATTAAGGCTTTCTTTGGCTACCGCTCCTCCTCCATTCTCATCACGTGACCATACCATTGTAATTGCCTTCCTTGTATTCTATCTGAAAGAGTATCTCTAATTCCTGTACGGTTTCGTATTTCCTCATTCCTGATTCTATCCATTCTCGATACTCGACATGACCTTCTAAGATAATCCATTTCCACAACGTCTACTTTATCTCGTTCATTCAGCACCATATGTGGTCATCGTCCAACATTCAGCACCATATGTGGTAATTGGTTCTACAATTGCTCTGTATACAAGAAGTTTGGTATGCATCTTTATTTTATTAGACCACAGTAATGAATTCAGTTTGTACATCTATCTTAACTTCTTGGACGTATATTTTAAAGAGTGTCGGTGACAAACAGCATCCTTGCTTTAGGCCTTTAGTGACTTTAAATTCATTTGAAGTTCTGGTTCCAATTTTTACACAACTAACTGCATTTTCGTACAATTTATATATCGCTCGGATATACGTCGAATCCAATCCGGACCTTTCGAGGACCTCAAACATTTTCTTTAAAGGGACACTATCATATGCTTTCTCAAGGTCTATATATACCAAATGGGTTTTTTTACTTTTTTCGACACGTTTTTCAATTATTTGTCGTAGGATAAATATATTATTAAGGCAGGATCTCCCGGTACAAAATTCCCCAAAATTCCCGCTTTGTTCTTCAATATCTTGTATCTGTCTTTCAACCCCCTTCTTTAATATTCTGCCGTACAACCGGCCCACAGAGCTTGTCACACTAATACCTCCATAATTGGAACAGTCTCTTTTATTCTTTCTCTTATATATGGAGCTTATATAAGATTTATTCCAATCTTTAGGAATTTTCTGGTCTCCACACATACATTTATTAAAAAGGTCTACTATTAATTCTAAAAGTGCAGTCGGCCCATATTTAACCAGCTCTATAGGAATGTCTCCAGGTCCTGCGGATTTTCCGTTTTTAACCTCTTTTAAGTTTTCTGTCAATTCAGATAATGTTATTATAGGGATTTCCTGTCTTTCGTCTCTGTTGTCTATTAATTCCCTTATCTTGTCCCATCTGTACTCTACTGTATCCTCTTTCAGCGGTTTCGTATAATATTCTTCCCATTCATTTAACTTTATGAGAGAAATGTCTTCATTTTTCTTATTTTTCCTAAACTGTTTTAATGTTTTCCAAGCTTGTGCCACTTTTGTTCCACCCATAAATCTGTCCAGTTCATCACACTTAGCCTCCCAGTTTATATTTTTCGACTTATGCACGTCTTTTTTAACTTCTCCATTCCATTTGGCGTATATTTCTCTGTCTTGAGGATCTTTGGATTGAAGCCATATGTGATATGCTTGATTTTTCTTGAGAACTTTCTCTTCTAGTTCCGTTGAGAACCATTCAGGTTTTCCTTTTTTTCAATTTTCAACTTTTCCCAGTGTTCATTTGCCGCTTCATGAATATATTTTTTAATTACCTCATACATACTTTTAGGGCCTAAGTCCTTTGTTTCTATATTTTTTATTTTCTGAGCTATTCTAATTTTATATAAGAACTTTGTCGAACCTTGTTTAAAGTTTTCCAGGTTATATTCTATGTTTTCTCTGGTTGTTCCTATATCTGTTACTTCATCATTTTTGTGACTTGATTGTTCTCTCTTAAATGTCACTATTACCTTTGCAATAATCATGTGGTGGTCAGTTCCACATTCTGGCCCTCTAAACACCCTCACGTCCTTCGTTTTTAGTTTAGAATCTTTACGCTGAATGAAATAGTCAATAATTATTGATTTTAAATTCCTGGTAGGCTGCGTCCATGTAAATTTGTGTATATTCTTATGGGGAAGAAACCATTTAATATTTTCAAAGAATGTGCCTCGCAAAAATCTACTAATCTTTGACCATTGTCGTTCAGAATGTCTTCTCCATATCTCCCTCCTATTTCACTGTTGGAGCTCTTTTTAGAGAAAAATTTAAATTTGTTTTAGAAGAAATTAAACAAAGAGGCTTAACTTTAAATTTAAAGAAACAAAAATTTTATCACACTAAAGTAAAGTTTTTAGGTTATCAAATTGATATTGGCATTTCACCTAAAATGATAAATCAAAAGCTAAGACAACACCAAGCAATCGCAAACACTTTTTTTCCATCATTCTGTTGATTTCTGGGAGTAAAGAGCCAGATTTATGTATTAATTGTCCCAGCAGTACATACTTGTCTACTGTCTCAAGTGCAGTATTATTTATTATTACATCTTGAACATCCACTAGCTCATTGTACATGATTATTGTTTTTGTCAAGTTCTTTTTTAGGACAACTTCATTGCTACCTGCATTTAGGTCACTTATCAGTTCTTGTAGTTCTGCAGGATTATTAACAATAGAACGATGTCGCCTACAAATCTTAGATGACTGAGGTATTTTCCATCAATGGATCTGCCTTTGTTATGCTAGTTCATTTTGCTGAATATATTTTCTAGAGTTGTCCTGAAGAGCTTTGGTGATACTTCGTCTCTTTGTCAGATGCCTCTAGTCGTAGGAAATTCTGGAGTGTTTTAACAAATTTTTACTTAGCTTTTGCTTGTCTGTATATATTTGCTAAAGTCTTTATGTACGGTTTATCAATGCCTTGATTGGTCAACGATTCTATTACTGCCTTGGGATATATAGAATCGAAAGCCTTCTCAACATCTATAAACGTTAATGCTAGTGATATTTTATTTCTTTAGGTTTCCAGGGTATTGAATCCACTTCTGAAGCTTACTTTCTTGGTTGTACAGAATCTAATTCATTTGTTAATCTGTTGTTGATGATCTTTGTGAATATCTTGTATATGATTGGTAGTAGACTTATAGGTCTGTAGTTTTTGATATCATCTTTTCTACATTTCTTATGGATGAGAATTATGTTTGCTGTAATTTAGTAGTCTGGTATGCATGTTGATCTTAAGTAGTTCATAAATATTGCTGCTAAGATTTGACAGGTTTTTTTGCCAGCGTATTTAAGCAGATGCACTGTTATGCTTTCTATTCCAGCTACTTTGCCGCTTTTCATGTTTGTAGTTCCGATGCTACTTCTTGCGAAAGGACATCTGGTACATCTTCTTGATTACTTCTTTAAATGTTTCAGGGGCTTTGTACAGTTCGCTGTAGAATTTAGTCACGAGTTGAATTATTTTATTTCTGTCTGTAATTTTGGTGTTTTCGATTGCTAAATCAACGATTTGATTCTTCCCAATGATTAATACTTTACTTATTTTCTATTATTTTTTTCTGTTTTTGATTACATTTTCTTCCAGTCTTTCATTGTGTTTTCTTATGTCTTGCTTAATACTTTTTCTTATTGTCTTCCAAAGTTTTGTGTATTGTATTCTCTGTACGTTGTCACTTACTTTTATTTTCCTTTTTTGTTTTAGCAATAGTTTTGGTTTTATTAGGCAGCTTACTATGTTGAATTGGTTGTTGCGGGCCTTCGATTTCTTTGGTACTATCAAGGATGATTTTCATTAATTGAGAGCTGTCGATTTGGTCATGTAACCTTTCATCAATTTTCCTTTGGTAGTGATCTGAGTTGTCTTTTAGATTGTTAATATGTATACCAGTTACTGTTCCTTTTATCGTTAATTTAAAACTTTCTAGTTTCAAATCTAGAACAAAGTTTGCTCTGATTAGTCTATGGTCGTATGGTCGCTGCCTCTTTGGAATTTATTTATCACACCGACATCTTTTATTATAGCAAACTTGTTGGTCAGAATGAATTCAATTTCGTTATAGCAGTTATTTCAGTATCTCTACATTGTCAGCTGTTCGAACTAATTTCGATTAAAACCAATAAGTCTAACTAATGTCTCCAAAATCTTTCCACTTTCAGTGGTTCAATATGTATAAAATTTTGAACATATTTTAAGCTCTACAAGACCCAACATTCGACCCAAAATCGAAATTTTTGACTTATATTTCAATTGTCAAAGCAATAAATAATAATTAAAACATTTTTATCCTACCAATAATTGAAGAAAAGAAATTAATTCCAGATCATCAATTTGGATTAAGAAATAAGCATTCGACAATTGATCAGGTGCATAGAATAACTGCTTTAATTGAAAGATCATTAGAAAAAAGGAAAGTCTGTTCTGCAACCTTCCTAGATGTGGCACAGGCGTTTGATACATAAACTTAAATCATTCATGCCTAAACAATATTCAAATATATTACAACCATATCTAGCGAACAGACATTTTAGAGTTAAACAAGAAGATGCATACACTGATCTCAAGGATATTGAAGCAGGTGTTCCACAAGGGAGTGTATTGGTTCCAGTCCTATATCTAATATACACGTGTGATATACCTGAACCAGAAGAGGACACCATAGCTACCTTCGCAGATGACACTGCTGTCTTAGCAGTAGGTAACACCGTCGAAGAAGCTACGGAAAAACTACAAAATTCAATAAATAAAATCCATGAATGGACCAAAAAATGGAAAATTAAGCTGAATGAGAATAAATCTGTCCATATAAATTTTACTAATAAGAGAATTAATAATATTCCAATTAGAATAAATGATGTCCAAGTGCCTATTGCAACATTAGCAAAGTACTTTGGGATCACTCTTGATGCAAAGCTTCGCTGGAAAGCTCACGTGAAGAAGAAAAGAGAAGAACTAGGCATCCGCTACAAGAAAATGTATTGGTTGATAGGAAGGCATTCCTCTCTATCCATCAATAATAAACTCCTAATCTATAAACAAATACTGAGGCCAGTATGGACCTATGGCTGCCAACTCTGGAGCTGTGCCAAGCCTAGTAACATCAAAGTAATCCAGGTATTCCAGAATAAAGTACTGAGGAACATCGTTGATGCGCCTTGGTACGTTAGGAACAACGATCTTCACCGGGACCTCAATATGGAAGACGTCAATCACATAATCAAGAAATTTGCAGGGAGCCATGAACAACAACTCCATCATCATGTAAACGTCGAGACTATCCAGCTCCTCGACAATACGAACCTAGAGATAAGGTTCAAAAAGACAAAGCCTTTTAAACTGGTATAGAGAAACAGAGCAAAGTGTTGTGCGAGTATGATTGCTAAATTGAATGCTAGTTATTAGAAATAAGAGGAAAGAATTTAAGTTAGAAACAAATTGTAATTGGTCTTACTGACCAGATTTTAATGTTAGTACACTTCGGTGTCTTTAGTAAAAAAAACATTTTAAAAAAATGCCCTTTTAAATAATTTTGTATGGCTTCTAAATTTATTACTCTCAAATTGGTTTGAAATAATTTACTTTTTGTTGATGAAAAAAAGCAAAAAAAAAGTTCGAAAAATGGACTGCAGGAAACATATAGGTTCTTGTTATAGAGGTCCATACCACTCAAAACAGGTCAATAGAGGGTTTTGTCCCATTCTCAGAAAGAGTGTTACTACCATAAATAAGGACTTTACACACAAAACTAAGTTTGATCTAAGTATATGAGCCAACGACGGATGCAACAGAAGATAAAGTACAAATATTTTACCAACAAATTGAAGATGCACTGAAAATGACAAAGAACAGGGAAGCCACGGTAGGTATGGGCAATTTCAATGCAAAAGTGGGTAAGGAACGAGCTGGAACAATAATGGGAGATCAAGGACTAGGGGAAAGTAACGATAGAGGAGATCGTCTAATACAATTAGACGCCTAGAACAAAGTCAAAGTCAACAAAGGAAATCGCCTAGAACAAAGTCTAATAATCACAAACACGGTCTTTAAAATACCTACGAGACGGTTACATACATGGCGCTCACTAGCAGATAAACCGGAAAAAGTGGTAAGAAACCAAATAGATTATATAATGATTAAAGAGAGATATCGTAACACCATCAAATCAGTTAAAACATATTCAGGAGCAGATGTCACATCAGACCATAACCCACTAATCGCTAAGGTCATGCTTAAGCTTAAACGTATTAGAAAACCCCAAAGAACTTCAAAATAAGATGTTAGAAAATTAAAAGAATCTGATATAAGGAACAAACTCAATAAAAATATACGAAAACACCTTACACACACGAGATAAACCAACAATGGGAAAAAAACGTATCGTATCATAATTAGCGTTATAATTTCTCTACATTTGCAGTTCATCCTAAATTTATAAAATAACCATTTATTATTACAACTCCCATTTCCCCCGGGGCTTCTAATCAAAACCTTCACGATTACTCGTCATTTTTAATATCGTATTGTTTCGTTATGCAACAATTTGATCTCTATACACTGACCTAACAAGTTCAAAAGATATAAATAAATTTCACATGTAGCAATTAGATGTTATTGACCCCGAATTAACATTGAACTAGGTAATGTGATATACCAACCTTGTATGCATGAGCATCCTTAGTTACCGTTAGAAAAATAAAAATCACTGTTATCAGTCCTAGTATTTTGACACACATTTTTAGAAATTTTAACTGTCTTGCAAACTAGCCGCACTTGGGTATAGCCTCCTGTATAATGCGAATTAAAGAGTTCCAAACACGATGATTACACCTCAAGGTTAACTGTTTTTGTAATCGCTGCAACGGTTGACCAAGAAAATTCCAAATATATAATATTATCAGTGGACAAAATATAATCTCTCAATGTAATAAAAAAAAAAACAAAACACTGATACCTACACTATTCTATTTAAAATGTTATTTCAGTAAGTATGTTAAATGCTGGTTCTGTAAGTACATAAATAAAATTTCCTGCCGACTTGTGGTTCATGACCCCACAGGGTGTCTCGAAATCTTGCTTAGATAGTCGTGGTCGTGGAAGACGCTCTCGCGATCACATCCTTACGATCTTTGTGTGATCACTGTTAGGGTTGTATTTGAAGTCAAGAATTTAACACTTTGGCTACTGACTATAAATTTGATTTTTTTGTCAGAAACTGAAACTATATTTTGGTGAAATTTACAATATTTAATACTAAAAATATGGAAAGACAAACATTTGGGTATTTTTTGAAAAAAAAATCATGTGTACATGCCGTATCACAAAATGGTAGGTATATATAATATATATATATATATATATATATATATATATATATATATATATAATATATATATATATATATATTATATATATATATAAGGTAGTCCAAAGTTTTTTGACTAGTTTGGAAAAAATATATGTAAATACTTTTTTCTTTTTGGGTGTGGTAGTCAATAAAAAATAGAGCTTTGCTAAGGCGTACTATTTATTCTGAATTCCGAGCTTTCGGTGGTTATTTGCCACCTTTATCAAGGTCTACAATGAAAATTACTGTGTTATAACATTAGGCTGATGTAATATAAAAGTTATAAAAACTTACCAGAAAGTAAGATTCATAGCATATAAAACACAACGTTAAATAACATGATGTGATCTGAATTATTGAAGGCATTAAAAATTTTAAAAACTTTAAAATACTTAAAAATTAAAGAACATGTTACAAAGTTTAAAAAGTAAAAAATAAGACGACATGTTTGACAAAAAACAGTCGTCTTCGCAGGTTTGAATTCAGTCACATCTCACGAACAGAAAGAGGTAGTAGGAGGAACTATTGTTGTTTAAATAGTTCGATGTAACTACAAAAAACAAACTTTCAAACTGATGTCTAACAAAATGCCGTTTGTGATTTACATGGTTGGTAGTACCTAAAATCACAAACGGCATTTTGTTAGACATCAGTTTGAAAGTTTGTTTTTTGTAGTTACATCGAACTATTTAAACAACAATAGTTCCTCCTACTACCTCTTTCTGTTCGTGAGATGTGACTGAATTCAAACCTGCGAAGACGACTGTTTTTTGTCAAACATGTCGTCTTATTTTTTACTTTTTAAACTTTGTAACATGTTCTTTAATTTTTAAGTATTTTAAAGTTTTTAAAATTTTTAATGCCTTCAATAATTCAGATCACATCATGTTATTTAACGTTGTGTTTTATATGCTATGAATCTTACTTTCTGGTAAGTTTTTATAACTTTTATATTACATCAGCCTAATGTTATAACACAGTAATTTTCATTGTAGACCTTGATAAAGGTGGCAAATAACCACTGAAAGCTCGGAATTCAGAATAAATAGTACGCCTTAGCAAAGCTCTATTTTTTATTGACTACCACACCCAAAAAGAAAAAAGTATTTACATATATATATATATATATATATATATATATATATATATATATATATATATATATATATATATACAGAGTGCTCCAAAAGTCTGGAAACGGCTAATTATCTCGTAAAATGCTAATCATAATTGTACAAAATTTGAGGTACACCTATTTTCGGATAAGCAGATTCCATATTTGATATTTACAATGTTGCCAGATTTGCCGTTTTTCTTATATTATTAGTAACTTTGGTTTTTCAAATACATTACCCTGTATATTCAGTCATTATTGGAATCTCCTATTCAATACGAGTTCAACTATATCTAACACTTATGATTTTATGTAGTCTGGAAGGTCATAAATACATAAAAACGAAGTCGGGCAACGCCTAAATTGTTTCAATAAATTTTTTAATACTAACTATTTTCAAATACATTAAAACGTAAAAATTAATAGTTAAGAACATTTTTTAACATAGTAGGTTACGTTATTAAGTGTTCAAAATGTGCTCAATTTGTGAGTTGACAGCACCCTAATCGATGGTAGAAGGCGTCTACCAAATTTCTCCAGGATTGTCTAGAAATTATTCGAGATTCATTGATAATTCGTTGCCTAAAGCGGCGTCCTCATTGAGTTGACATTGTCGATCGACTCTGTCTATCGACACTGTCGACCGACAAATCGAAAAAGCTTCGATGTCCACACCAGGTAGGCAGAATATTTGTCGACAGTCGAAACGAAAATGTGTGACGAAGATGACGCCATTATTGTTTGTGCCGCATTTGTTATTATCACAACTAAAAAACGTAAATCATCGCGTAAAAGAAGATTTTGGGTTCGACCAAGCCTTCAAAGTAGAAATCGGTATAGCGGTAGTAACATTCAATAAATGCAATCACTTTTTCTTTTTCCCGTTCCATTTTGCCAACAGTACAAAACACGAGACTTTAAATGAGGCAGACTACACCGCACGTTGAATTATTTTTACTGTATTTTTATATAATGTCGAAGGTCGAACGTCGAATGCAGGTACACACTTCCGATTCGACTCGACTACCCTTTGATTTTACCGACAGAGCAGGGAAAACCAGTCGACACGTCGATCGACATCTTTTGTCGATCGACAAAGTCGATTGCCGCGTACACACTCAGTCGAGAGTGTCGATAAACACAGTCGATCGACAACGTCGACTCAATGAGGACGCCGCTTTAGCTCTGCAAGACTTGCTGGTTAAGTTTTGTAAACAGAATTTTTCAAGCATCCCTAATAAAATAATCTTTAGGATTGAAATCGGGTGAACGTGGAGGCTATTCAATTCTACCTTGTCTACCAATTTATCGTCCAGGAAATATCTCATCTAAATATCGCCGAACATTTACACCAACTATCTGACGTTAACTTTCTTTCGACAAAACATGACCCAATTGAATAAGTAACTAATATATTTGATCATACATTTAATTTTGTGGTCTTTGAGTATGGTTTTCACGCATTCACGATTTACATTTCCACACAGTGTAAAAGTTGCTTCATCGGAAAAACATATTCTGTTAACGAAATTTTAATAATTTTCAATTTTATCCATCATTACCTCAGTAAACTCTAATCTACGACCAAAGTCATCTTCACTTAATTCTTGCAATAAGTTAATTTTGTATTATTAAAATTTATTTTTACGTAATAAACGTAAGACTGAAGAATGACCTACATAATGTACTTGTGCAACCCTGCCTGGGGATGTATGTGGATCTTCAACAAAACTTTGCTTATATCTGAAGTTTTGTTGTCATTGATAACTCGTTTCGGTCAACCTGATCGGTATATATCTTTTACTTCTCCAGATTCCTCAAATCGCCTTACAGTTTTTTGTACCGTCGTCTTATGAATAGGAGAACGGTTTAAAGAACGGCATTTTAGAGAAGCAATTTAAATTGCAGAACTTTTTGAACCACAACTGCTGTCAATTTTAGTTCATAATTTAAATGGTGAACAATTGTCAAAATCACAGCATTCTCCATTTAAATATTTAAATTTATTAAAATCTACATATTTTGCACTGTTTTGTGTATTTAAGATCTTTCAGACTACATAAAATCAAGTGAACATATGGTTGAACTTGTATTGAATAGCTGAACTCGTGTGAAATTCACACTGAATGCGTGAAATCCATACTCAAAGACCACAAAAATTAAATGTATTGTATGGTCAGTTATAGTAGGTACTTATTTAATTGGGCTATTTTTTATCGAAAGAAATTTAACGTCAGATAGTTGGTGTAAATGTTCGGCGTTATTTAGATGAGATATTTCCCGGACGATAAATCGGTAGACAAGGTAGAATTGAATGGCCTCCACGTTCAACCGATTTCAATAATAATCCGATAATCTTTCCTAAAGATTATATTTATTAGAGATACTTGAAAAATGCATTTTACAAAACTTAACCAGCAAGTCTTGCATAGCTAAGGCAATGAATTATCGATGAATCTCGAATAATTTCTAGACAATCATGGAGAAATGTGGTAGACGCATTCTACCATCATCGATTAGAGTGCTGTCAACTCACAAATGGAGCACATTTTGAACACTTAATAACGTCACCATTATGTTAAAAAATATTCTAAACTATCAATTGTTACGTTTTAATGTATTTGAAAATAGTTAGTATTAAAAAATGTATTGAAACAATTTAGGCGTTGCCAGACTTCGGTTTTATGTATTTAAGACCTTCCAGACCACATAAAATCATAAGTGTTACATATGGTTGAACTAGTATTTAATAGGATATTCCAATAATGACTGAATATACAGGGTAATGCATTTGAAAAACCAAAGTTACTAGTAGTATAAGAGAAACTGAAAATCTGGCAACATTGCAAATACCAAATATGGAATCTCCGTATCCCAATATAGGCGTATCTCAAATTTTGTATAATTATGTCCAATAATCGAACACCTCTCTACCCTAAGGTGTGAGGTAAATACAATTACAGGTTACAGATATACATAACATCTCAAATCCAATGAATATACAGATTTTTTTTTATTCTATTCTGTGGACGAATTTTGTCCATTCTTCCTTGTTTTTTGCCATATTTTGAGCTTCTGACCATTCCAATCCCCTACTTTTTAAAATCTGCCCTACTTCGTCATCCCAGGTTTTCCGTGGTCTGCCTCTGGTTTTTAAATCTTTTCACTTTAGCCTTCCAGACTTGCTTAACGGGTCGGTTGTCGCTCATTCGGCACAAATGACCAAACCATTTTATTTGTTGTGTTTCAATAGCATGTAGTACAGATTCTGTGACTAGTTCTTCTCTAACATCTTCATTTCTTATTTTGTCTCGTCGTGTTATTCCTTTGAGTCGGTTTTAGATATTTCATATCAATGGCTTGTATCTTGCTTTTTAATTGCTTTGTTAAAACTCAGCTCTCGCTTCCATATATCAAGATTGGTCGGAATACTGTCTTAAAAACTGTCATTTTGGTTCTTCTGCTAATTTCCGGTTTACCTATGAATGCTCTACTAAGATTATGGTACACTTTTGAAGCACTACTTATTCTTTCTGTTATTTCATTCTGCATGGTACCTTCTCTGTCTATCCCTAGGTATTTGAATGCATCTACTTGTTCTATGAGTTGTTGGTTAGCTTTTATGTTAACTTTTCGGTTAGTTTTCGATATTAGCATCACCTTGGTTTTCTTAACATTAATCTTTATGTTTCTAATTTCCAGCTCATTATTCCAGCTATCTATATTTTTCTGGAAGTCCCTTTCGTTGGAAGCGCATAACATGAGATCATTTGCGAATGCACACTCAGCTATACCAATTGGTCGTAGTTTACTATATCCGATATGTACTTTGGTTATACTTGCTTTTGTTTTCTTAATTATGTCGTCAATAAACAATATGAATAGTGTGGGGCTCATAACACCTCCTTGTCTTAGACCCTCGTTTATTGCAAACATCTCTAATTCCAAGTATCCTTACGTACATAACTCTTGTTATTTTGATACAGACTTTTGATAGCACCTGTTAGTTGATGGTCAATATTTCTATTTTGCAGACTTTTTAAAACTGCTTCCTGGGACACTCTGTCAAATGCTTTCTCAATATCTAGAAAAGCCATATATATTTCTGTGTTCTTTATTCTAGCTTTCTCAATTATTTGTTTAACGTAAATATATGGTCTTGCGTACTGTGTCCCTTCCTAAACTCACTTTGTACTTTATCCAGATGTGGTTCAACGATGTGTCTTAATTTCTTTTTTAGGATGCTTTCATATATTTTGGAGATGATACTAAGTAGATTAATTCCTCTATAATTCTCACAAGAACTTGGGTCTCCTTTCTTAAAGATTCTTCCCAATCTTCGGGAACTGTACATCGGATCCCAGCCATGTTCATCATTTTGGTTAAAAATTCAACTCCTTTCGGTCTCATTGTCTTTAACATTTCTGCAGTGATTTTGTCATGACCAGCCGATTTACCTCTCCTTGTATTGTTAATTGCTTCTTTAACGTCTTCTATTTGAATATAATTTTCTTGTCCATGTTCTCCTTCTACTTCTATCATTACAGTTTCCTCTTTCGGCTGTCTTGGTGTTAGGAGTTCGCTGAAGTATTGTCTCCATCTTTCCATAATCTCATTTGGTCTGATAATCAGTGTGCCGTCTTTACGTTTCACCTGTTTCATCGTTGTTTCTTTACCTTTTCTTAGCGTCTTTGTTTCTTTACCTTTTCTTAGTGCCTTGTAAAACAATTTTTGGTTACCCTGTACCCAATTAGAATTCATTTTGGGCATACTGTCAGCAACATTCGTTTACAAATAAAACTCTTCACCTCAGTTATTGAAAATTAAGCATACACTTTTTTGAAATACAGTACAGGCATTTTTAAAATAGATACCTACAGGATAGGCAACTTTCATTTAAAGACTGTGTACTTTCTGCCTGAAAAATAATAGCTAAATATAAATTATGTTCCACTGTTGCATCTATTCGATATAAAAATGACATGTTAAACAAAGAATTTATTTTTAAAACTTTTGATTTATTTGTTCAACCAGATATTCTATAAAGTCCTCAAAGATGTTTCCTCTGAAGTTACCATCGCCTGGAAATTTAAATATTTTGGTTTTTGATCAGAAATTAAACAGCAAATATTATAATTTCTTTAAAAACTTTAAAAAAACTTTTATTATTTAATTTACAACAATTTTATGGCTTTTTAACTTTCTTCTCTTCTGGTTTAGGCTTTCCACCACAAACTAAACTGCATAGGAAACCAAGTGTCTTCTTTATTACATACAAAACCAAAAATATAGCTCCAAAAATAAGTCCGAACACGTCCAGTAGGTAATATTGGTACCAGGCTAACTCCACATATCCAACTCTAAGATGTTTAGCACCATTATGCCTTGCAACGTATTCTACCCAGAAAACTGCTTCGTCCATAGGTTTTACTGGCCTGTCGTGGAAGATTTTAGAGCGAGATTTTGCATTTTCCCGATATCTACAAAAAAATATAGAATTAAGATATATACATATATTTATTTATACAACTATTGTCATGTGTTAAAAATGAGATGGATTGAGTACGTTTGTTACCTAAAATTTTCCTGAGGTTGTTTCAGACAAGAGAAGGCGACGTTGAGCTCTTTTTACTTGACACAAATTCTTTTCAAGACTGTGTTCTGCTGTTCTTCGTAATGTATCTTGCTTGTTTCTTAGTTTCTCAAGCTCATTTACATTTTGTTCTGATCTGGTTTGTTTAAATTTGTTAAAAGAATTTAGCTTTGTTACATTCTTCATTCCACCACGGTAAAGGAATAAATTTTAGTAACAGTTTGATCATATCTGTATGTTGTGTTGCAGCGTTTATAGTTGAGGATAAGAATGTGTTTAAATCATTATCTATGCCTGAAAACAGAATTGTATTTGTCGTAGGTCAGTACTTCAATAATTTCCCTATATTTCTCCGTTTTTTATTTTCCATTTCTGAGTAGTGAAGCTATTTATGGTATTAGTTGAATGAAAAGATTCTGATTGGATAGTAAAGCTCAAAATTTGGTTATTTTTGATAGTTATATATTCATACGCCTCATAATATTCAGCATTTAATATTAGTAACTGACATATGTGGCAGTGACATATGTGGCAAGTGAAATATGTGGCAGTTTTTCTGTCGCATTTCTTGCCAAAGGGCTATGTATCGTTGGCCATACCTATGCTGTAGAAGTGTCTTCTTAATTGACGGTATTCAATAAAGATATCTGAAAACATTTTTAGATAGACACAACACAAAAATATGGTACAGTCAAAATTCAAAAAACATGATTGCCAGTGTGAGATGGGATAATGGTGGAGAATATATTTAAAATACTCTACTGATCTCTATCATTACGTATGTTTTCCTGTTAGGATATCTTTACCCATATTTTCTGGAACCTGCTCTACCTCTGCTCGTTTGTTTCTTCTGAACTTCAATCTTATTTCGCCATGTATTTTTGTCCGAGTCAACATTATTTTCCCAAATTCCCATAATTATTCGCTTTATAACACTCTGTGAGGTTCATTGTTATATTGAGGTACTAGACATAGTACAAATATATATTTTAAGGGGCTACTATTACAAAATCGTAATTGGTTACGAACTCTAAAATACTTACTTTGGATCAGAAAGAATTTTCTCTATAGCTGCCGAAAGTTGTTCTTCTGTAAGTGTATTATAGTCGACAACAATAGAATAACCATTTTTTTCTGCTTGTCTAGCATTGGTTTGTTGATCGTTAACAACAGGTACTGATACAGTTGGTATTCCGTGGTAAAGAGTTTCGATAGTGCTCAGGAATCCTCCGTGAGTAATAAATAGTTTAACATTTGGATGAGCTGAAAACATTTAAAACTTTAAATCAGACATGACATTATTTATAGTTGAATATTAAAAGGTATTAAAATAAGGTAAAAGAACAGTTTCCGCTTTGGGGTACCAATGGTATAACGAGAGCAAAGGAATCATAGCAGCCGTTGTTACATCTTCTGGTATAATATCAAATGGTTTAGATCAAAATCAAGGTATTCATTTTGTACTCAAATCTCCCCCAGTATTTGTCCTCTTCCTCAAGAAGCAGAAACACATGTGCCAAATACCCCTGATACATTAGGAGATATACCAGACTCAGATTAGGGTGAAGTATAACCTTTTGGCAATCAAGAGTTAAACTCTGATTTTAAACATAACATTAGACCAAAATTGTTCTTCCAGGAAGAAATAAACGATTTGGTTCTGGAGAGATCTGGATCTTCCCAAAGATGTTGCTGAACTTGCTCGTAAGCTCGAATCTTGAATCTTGAATCAAGGGCAAAAAAAGACTTTTGTGCCTTATTTTGACCAAGAAGCAAATCAAATCTATTGTAGGGACAATAAAAGTTTGATGGTTCTTGAAAGAAACTTATGAAAACTTCTTCAAGGATTCTTCAAAAGCTCAAAATATGCGGTTGTTTGTAAATAATGTTTGTTCTGTTGGGAAAACAAGGTGGTTACACGATTGACCAAAAATTATTGGTCAATGGCGAATGGGGAGTCGAGGATGGTTACGGTTCTTCTTTAAGTTCCATCTTCTATCGAAGGTTGGAAATCATCATGGCTATGCGGACTCTGTTGACTGTCGCTCTAAAAAGTTCTGCACTACTGCATTCAAACCATTCCCTTAAGTTCTTAAGCCAGGATATTCTTCGTCTTCCCACATTTCGCTTTCCTCGGATTTTGCCCTGCATAATAAGTTGTAATAATGCGTATTTTTGCCCTCTCATCACATGTCCCAAGGACTCAAGTTTTCGTCTTTTAATAGTTAATATTATTTCCGCCTCATTTCCTATCCTTCTAGTTACTTCCATGTTTGACAGTCTTTGAATCCATGATATTCGTAGGATTCTTCTGTAACACCAAAATTCAAAGGCGCCAGCTTATTCAGATGAACTTGTTTGAGTGTCTAAGCTTCCAGACCATAAAGAAGAGTAGAGAACACGTAACATCGAAGCATTCTCAGGCGTAGTTCTAACCTTATATCCCGACAACAAAGAAACTTTTTAAGTTTAATAAATGATGTACGTGCTATTTCAATACGTGTCTTAATTTCTTTGGTTTGGTCTACATCTGATGTTATCCATGTTCCTAAATATTTATAGTTATTAACCTTCTCAATTGCAGTATCTTCAATAGTCAATTGGATATTTGCATGTGCAGATTTAGTCATGATCATGCATTTAGTTTTCTTTAAATTTATCTTCAGTCCGTATTCATGACAGCGTTCATTAAGGCGTTGCATTAGGTTCTGTAAATCATTGTTGTTATCCGTAATTATTACTGTATCGTCTGCAAAACGTAAGTTATTCAAAACTTCTCCATTGATAGATATACCTTCTATTGAGTCTGAGAGCGCTTCTTGAAATACCGCTTCACTGTAGACATTGAAAAGTAGTGGGGACAGCACGCAACCCTGGCGGACTCCTCTCTGTATTTTGATATTTTCGGTGTACTGGCTGTCAACTCTTACCTTGGCAGTTTGATTCCAATATAAATTAGATATAATTTTCAGATCACGACTGTCAATATTTTTGCTTTTTAATATATCTACAAGCTTTTTATGTTGAACTTACGGTTACGGTTAGACAAAACAATTTTCTGCAAGAAAACTTGGTACCACCAGAAAAATTCTCCTTACTTCTCCTTCCCATTTGTAAAAATAAAGTTGTTAGGCCAACTATCAGAATATATGTAGCAGATTAAGAGTGGTCTAATATCATAACAGATCTCCTGCTAGAAAAAATATGCTAAATATTACTAAGAAAAAAGAATGCTAAAGTCATTTCAAGAGTATTTTAAGGCTGTCTCATGAGCTTAAAAATACATTTTTTTCATTTAGGACGGGGGATTGCTTGTGGACAATGACTAAAGAATAAGAGAAGCCTTTTCATCAAGAAATCAAAGAGATATAAAAAAGATATCAAGGAATTTTTTTATTAGACATTAATATGATGTTCCCATTATTACAATCTAGTCTATATAACCAATAAGGTCTTATAGACTAAATTTTTTGCAGACTTGTATTATTACACTAGAATTTTCCTTTAAGGGGGGTTTTGGTTGGGCACCGAAATTTTTTTTATGCTACCTTCATTATTTTGAGTCCTTAAAATTTGTGAGTAACAGTGTCGGAATAGTGCCCTAGGGTGGGGGTTTAACACCCAAAACCCCACTCATTGGGTGCGCCACTGTTATTAGTGACTGAACCTTAAAAATTAAAATAATTTCAATAATGATAAATTGGTGTTCTCATGATCTTACACTAGATTTAATACCACTTAAGAGAGAGAAAAAACCTGGTAAAGAAAAATATTTAAACTAATCTAAAAAGTAAAAAAACTTACCTAATAAATCTGATTGCGGCAGCCACTTTTCAATCCTCACATTATTAGGTTTTCCTGGCAACTCTGTATCTTCAAATTTCCACAAAATGTTTTCTTTTCTTTTAGAGAAGGCTTTCATAATGCTCTCCCGTTTTTCTTTTGGGAAGCTGTTACTGTAAATATTGGAACCCATACTGAAATAAATCACTCCGTTTTTAGATTCATCCAAATACTTTTTAAGATCGGCAGGCAATGGTTTGGGTTCCTTGACGTGGTACCCTGCTATTTCTTTCATGCATGGAACTGATGGTGCTGGATTGTTTAAACTAGGGTGCGAATTAGATAGTACCAATGCGACGTCATATTGAATTTTGGTCAAGTCCATGTCCTTTGATACGTATTTCTTTATTAACTGAGCATGAGCTGGATATTGTACAAAATTATGGTTTATATAAGTTGCTATCGTGTACAAAGTATTAGTTAATCTCTGCTTAAAGTTCATCAATTGTGGATAATCAAATATTAATTCAGGATTCAACGAAGGTAAACCTGAGTTTCCTACAAAGTGGTTTACCCAGCACGTTGCAGCATTATCATTATATAGGATTAAATGAGCGCCAAAATGTGCAGCTAGCGCTTTTGTTGCTTCTACTGCATATTGTGTTAGTATCATAACATCAAACTTTTCGCCTGACTTTATTAATGCTTGCACTGTAGGATGGGATAAAGTTGCTTCTGTTACAGTCAAACCAACCATATTGAAAATGCTGAGCATACCAAAAGGACTTTTCGATGCGTACGAGTCTTCATCATTGAGGTTTGACATGTTTGCGAACAATTCTGAAACCAGACAAACATCATTAACATTTTAACTAATAAATCAAATATAAGACGTAGATACATATATAGTTTGGATATCATTTATGGAGTAAAATTTTTTCTGTCCTTGTTTCGAAAAATGATAAAAAACGCTGTTTTTATAATAAGTTGTGTATGTAGTTACTGAATTTTGTATTTAATTTACAGAATCAACAAGGGATAAAAATGATTTATAGTTTACTGAAATTATTTTCACATTGAGGCTGAGAAGACTGTTCCAGATCAGGTAAAGAAACACATATTACTTATTATATTTGTTATTCATGTAATTCATACTCATCACAATAATCCAGCCCGATCATGCGTCAACTGCTGGACATAGGCCTCCATAAAATTACTCCATTCGGTTATCATCATGCAGAGACTAATTAACTTTAGAGGAGATTAAATTAGAGGATGTTGTAATGGCAAGAGTTAAAAGACAACGAAGTACATTAAGAATCGTTCTATATTCATCAAGCAGTGACAGTGATTTTTCTTTTAATGACATAGATATGGATCCCTGTTTCAGACCACTAAACTCACCTCTTTCTCCGACACCAGATATCTCCCATTTATCAGACTCCGCTGAAGCTACAGAAATGAATACCAAAAAATGTACACTAACAAGAAGGCGAAAACGAAATGAAAAGAACTGGAAAGTACACATAACTAAAGAGAAACGTTCCAAATGTAAGCCATATTATAACAAATCTAAACAATGCAATGCAAAGGGTCCCTAATTTGTTGATTGTACAAATGGCAGATATCAATGCTCATTAAATTTAAATGAAAAGGATAGGAAGACATTGTGTCAATCATATTGGTTAAACCACACACCAGTTAAACCAAAACGTTTAAAAAATAATGTTAACAACAAAACGTTTTCAAGATTGTACTTCTTCGAAAGTCCCTTGGGACGGCACAGAGTATGGCTCAGGTTTTTTGAGATAACTTGAACCAATTCGGAAGGTTGTTTTTTCAGTGAAGATAAAAGAGGTCGCAAAATCCCCGCAAACGCTACTATGAAGAGTCTATCCAGTTGGTAAAAAACATATTGAGTCATTCCCTGCTATATAGTCGTATTATACAAGGGCCACCAGTCAAAGACTGTCATTATTTAATCTTCGCTTATACACTGCTAGACATAGATCTCACTCATAATTTTCCATCTATAATTTTCCATCTATTTCGATCTGGTGCCTCTTGCATCCCATGACAACGTTTTAGATCGTCAGTCCAACGTGTTGGTGGACGACCTCTGCTTCGGTAGGCATCATCTCTTGGTCTCAATTCCAGTATCCGCTTTGTCCATCTATTAGCTGTCATTCGAGCCACGTGACCTGACCAGTACCATTTCAGTGTTGCTACTTTCTCTACTGCATCAGCCACTCCTATTCTTTGTCGTAGCTGGCGATTTGGGATCTTGTCTCGTAGTGAATCGTCCAACATAGCACGCTCCATCGCCCTTTGACACACACGGATCTTTTAAACAATTCTCCTGGTCATGGTCAGCGTTTCCGCACCGTAAGTCAACACTGGCAAAACACACTGATTAAAGGTCTTTCTTTTAAGACGTATTGGTATATCAGACGATTTGAAAATATGGTTCAGCTTGCCGAAGGCTGCCCAAGTCAGTCTTATACGACGGAGAAGCTCAACGGTTTGGTTATCTTTTCCTATGCGGATCTCATGACCTAGGTATTTATAGGCCATTACCTAGTCTATGGATCTTGTTCCTACGCATATATCTTCGCTGACTACAAGATTTGTCATCATCTGGGTTTTAGATATATTTATTTTCAATCCCCCTTCTAGCGAGGAAAGGTAAACCTGATTTAAAAGTTCTTTGGCCTCATCTATCCGATCAGCTATTAGTACAATATCATCTGCAAACCTTAGATGGCTAAGCTTTTCTCCGTTTATGTTTATGCCCTTGTCGGTTAGTTTTGCCCTTTTACATATATATTCCAAAAGCGTAGTGAACAGTTTCGGCGATATGGTGTCCCCCTGGCGTACTCCACGTTGTATCGGGAATTTCTGGGTTTGACGATCACCCACTCTAACACTGGCTGTTGCGTTTTGGTATATGTGTTCAATTATATTTATATACCGATAGTCAGTTTGGCATTCTGTCAAAGCTTCCAACATTTTTTTGTTGATTTTCTATGTGGAATGCCTTTTCATAGTCGACAAATATTAACTTTGAAAATAAGGCTATTATCGAGCACAAAATAATTAAATCAAGCCCAAGTACTTTCGCTTATAATAGCATCTTCAGGGGCATCTGAAATAAGCCAAGAAAACGTTTTTTAGATGAAGTAAATTAGTTAACTTCGATAAAAAACTCGAAGTTAATGGATGAAAAAAAAAAGTTTTTGAGATTAACGTTTTAGACTTACTTCGTCAAAATAAGATCTATCCAGCAAGCGTAGGAAGTTGAAACATTAAAACTAACATAAATTATACAAAACACTACACTAAAACGAGGACAAACAGTTTAAAATTGCTTCTACGCTACATTCTCTGTCAGTTTCTGGAGGGATAATGATCTAAGCGGAAATGATACGGTGACATATGACATATGACAACTTTGATAGACAATCAAAGTTATGGATCTGTGATCAGCAAATATTGAAATGGACCGCAGGAGTGTGACGTCACATTGTCATTATTACTTTCCAAACAAACGTTGAAATGTCAAATCTCAAGACTTTTTAATTCCTATAAAGTTAACATTTTCCTTCCTCTGCTGCTTTTTCTTGTAAGTATAGTGTTTTTACGATAATACCGTTATAATTCAGAGTTCTATTTCTATGAAATATGGTTTAAAAGTTTAATTAAAAAAATTTTAACCTGACTTTATTGATACTTTCATTTTATTCCTATTAGCATAAAACAATGTGCTTTATTATTTACACAACCTTGTAAAATTGTTGTAGTAACTATTAGAATACTTAAATATTGCAAAAAGCGGAAAGATTCTATAAAATAAATGAAAAAATAACGAAAAATACAAATTATCCACACTAAACAACGTTTGTTTGGAAAGTGAAACTGGCAGATGTCAATCAAATCTACGTCATCACTCCTGTGGTCCATTCTGTATAAGTTGTCATTGGCCAAAGGTACAACTAGAACTACTATTTAAAAATCAGCTGATGACGTATGACATGTAGAATATTTTGATTTAAACTAGATTGCATAATCCAGATCTCACACTCACACCCGTCTGTAATGATAAGGTTGTAGGTTTGAGGCTAAATGAAGTGTACATAAAGTGTGAATGAAAGAAATAGACCAAACGATCTATTGGACAGTGGGTAGTTGACTACAATAAAATGGTCTACCTTACACTGTCAATATTGCAAAATGAGAAGAAAATTGACTATAAAATTGAAATATTAAAATTAGATTAGAATTGAAAGCAGTGTGTAAATAGTTATAGTTCAAGTAGTTCAGTTAAACCTCAAGCCAATGGGGAACTATAAAACTAATATGTAATAGCATTGCTAAAGACCAACCGACCAACAGGTGTTGAAATATAAACTGTGGAATTAGTATATGTAAGTTATGCAAAGATATGAAGAGTGAAATCAACTCCAACTGTGGATCAATTGAATCTGAGCAAGCTAGTTGTGTAAATTGTTAAATACAATAGTACTGCTGAACAGAGCTTGAAATTGGTAGATTCTTAATGTATAGACTCAGTGCAGGAAGTCTAGACAGCCGAGCTGGGTCCACTACGAGGTGAAGCTGTAATAAAGTTTTTAAAAATAGGTTTAAATTTAGTACAGTTTAAATTAATTTGAGTATTAAGACAATGAGAGTTTCCATTCGTTTCCTTTGTGATCTCCAAATCTTCCAATAGATCCAACTCCAAATAATTTTTCTTTCTACTGATGTCATGCAAAATAGACGACCCAGTATTGATGTTGAAATTGTGTTTGGTAGACTCTAAATGTTGACCAAAACTTGAAGAGTTTGGTCTTTTTAAATGTTCTGATATTCTAGTAGATAGCTTTCTAATGGTTCTGCCTACATAAGAGGCATCACAATCATCACACTTTAATTTGTAAATACCACTTTTGTCAAGTGTGTTCAGCCTGTCTTTAGTGTTAATTAAAAAGGAACCTACAGTGTTGTGTGACTTAAAGGAAATTTTGATGTTTTCAACTGTAGAAGTGAAAAGTTTGGCTATTTTATTAGAAATGTTACTAATATAAGTAAAAAAAAAATATCTGATATTGTTAGAAGAATTTTGCTGGAGAAGACTTTGTGATGAATATGCAAGCTTTTCTGTAATTTTGAGTTTAGCTCTATTTAGAAGCTTATGACTGAGCAAAATTACAGAAAAGCTTGCATATTCATCACAAAGTCTTCTCCAGCAAAATTCTTCTAACAATATCAGATATTTCTCTTTTACTTATATTAGTAACATTTCTAATAAAATAGCCAAACTTTTCACTTCTACAGTTGAAAACATCAAAATTTCCTTTAAGTCACACAACACTGTAGGTTCCTTTTTAATTAACACTAAAGACAGGCTGAACACACTTGACAAAAGTGGTATTTACAAATTAAAGTGTGATGATTGTGATGCCTCTTATGTAGGCAGAACCATTAGAAAGCTATCTACTAGAATATCAGAACATTTAAAAAGACCAAACTCTTCAAGTTTTGGTCAACATTTAGAGTCTACCAAACACAATTTCAACATCAATACTGGGTCGTCTATTTTGCATGACATCAGTAGAAAGAAAAATTATTTGGAGTTGGATCTATTGGAAGATTTGGAGATCACAAAGGAAACGAATGGAAACTCTCATTGTCTTAATACTCAAATTAATTTAAACTGTACTAAATTTAAACCTATTTTTAAAAACTTTATTACAGCTTCACCTCGTAGTGGACCCAGCTCGGCTGTCTAGACTTCCTGCACTGAGTCTATACATTAAGAATCTACCAATTTCAAGCTCTGT